AGTGATAATATATAGTGATATATAATGCAGAAACATTCTAGGTGGGGCGCAAAGTCATGTTTTGTATCTTGAACTGTTGCAGTAATTTTATTTCAATTAGAAAGGCTTTTAAATTGTTTCAGATTTTGTTCTTTATACAGACAGCAAAGTTAAATGTGAAATCGGAATTTGTGCAAATTGTAAAAGTTGTCCAACAAAGCTTAAACCTGGGATCTGTGTTGTTCATTCTTTATATACTAAATGGTCTCCTCTGTATTTTGGTGTAAGGTACATCTCTATGCTGATGATACAGTTTTGACCTGTCGCGTAAATACTGTATATTATGATGTCAGATCCCTTCAGCACTGCTTTTCTCAGTCACAAGTAGCTCTTAATAAACTAATTCTTAATACAGATAAACTAGGTAAATTCAGTCAGTCAGAAAACTTGATGATGACAGTCTCTACGATGAGTGGCACGAATATTGAAAAAGGGAATTTGGCTCAATGAGAAGCTGAATATCAGTTGTCCAAACTGGTGACCAAATTACAAGAATGAATCATGTTTTCCACTGCATGTAGAAAATGTCATATTATGGTTTTGTTTCTGTCAGTGTTGGACTGCGGTGACACTTCATACATGCACGTATCAGCTGTGACTCTGCAGCCCTTTGACATGAGTAATCATTCAGCATTAAGATTTATTATAGGTGATAAGGACAGTGCTAATAGGTTGGGTGGCACTCCCACTCTGTAAGAAGTAATACACACAAGGTTTTATCAATTTATAAAGCACGTATTCAGGTTAAATTAAATTACTTCACTGCTGTCATATAATGGGCACTCTTACCAAACACACTAAAATGATTGGATTATCCTGCAGGTGCTGCCTGTTTTTGCTAATCTTGGAAAATCCAGTTTTACTTACCTGCATCCTGGAATAACCTGCTGAACAATCTTGACTCGATTTTACCTTTAGGTCAATTCAGGTTTCTAATTTCCTCTTTTTTTTTTGTTGGTTTTACTTCCAGCTGCTCTTGTCTTGAGCTAATTCATTTGTTTTTAAATTTTAAAGTTTTTACTAACTTTGTCTTTTCTCATTTTATTGTTTTCCAAGTTTCTTGTCTATGTGTACAGAATTTATTATTATTTAGCTATGTAAATGAGGCCTCCATCCCTCAGTGTATTTCGCATTTAATTAAGGTTAAATGAATGAAAGCATCTTATGTTTTAATGGCAAAGAGGAGAAAACTCTCCATTATTAAAATTAAATGTTTTTTCATACTTTGCTTTTTCTTCTTCTTTCCTACCACAGTAATCATCTCCAACTCCTTCCTGTCCAACGCCTAAATTGGGAAAAACTTGACTGAATTACCCAATTGTGTGTAAAGTAGGTGCAACAGCAGAACACTGCACACACAGTGAATCATCTGTATTGTTAATCAGATTATGTCATTCATAGTAACACATCAGTCGCTTGAATCATTTCTCTGCAGAACAAGTATTTCTGAAAATGTTGAATTGTATTTCAAAGATGTTTTTGAAATGAATGAAAAATGTAAAAAAAAAAAAATAATAATTTAAAAAGCTAAGGTGGAGTAACCATCTCATAAAAATGCAGCAATTTTGGATAATTGAAATACCTTTTCTTACCATAATTTTACAGGGGGGTCATGTGTATTTCTTTGCTTTGTAATGTTCATTGAAGTTTATTTAGACATGGAAAAAAACAATATACATATAATGATAATATACTAGCATATAATGATATATCACAAGTTTATTAATTTATGAAAACAAATTAATTGAACACTGTTGTCATGAGAATCTCAGTCATTTAACAAACAAATCTATGTAAAATTACAGATTTTTTTTTTTACTGTTAAATGTCATGAATTGTCTCTAATTATAGAATCTATATATATTGACAGTATTTCCTTGGTCTTTAACAGCCTAATCTATTCAATTCAAATTTATAGTTGCAGGTTAGATATGTAAATTCAGTCTATTTTTGTAACTTCATTGATAGTTTGTGTTTTTAAAAACTACTTTTTTACATTGTAGTAAAGGTACTTTTATTTACTCAAAGAATCTTATGACTGCTTTATCCAAAACATGAAATTTAAAGTACTAAACTAAACATTTAATTACATTCTGTGATTTAAATATTGACCAGATATGACTTAAAAATATAAATTACTAAACAAAGTATTCAAGTGAAAATGTGAAAATGTCTTCGACAATATGTAGAATGGATCAGTGGTTAGCATCGTTGCCTCGCAGCAAGAAGGTCACCGGTTCACGTCCTGGTGAGGACACCTGGGATCTTTCTGCGTGGAGTCTCCAGTGCAGCGTGGGTTCTCTCCGGGTTCTCCGGCTTCCTCCCACAAGGTCCAAAAACATGTTGAGGTTAATTGGTGATTGTTGTGAATGTGAGTGTGCTTGGTTGTCTGTCTCTAAGTGTAGCCCTGTGATAGACTGGTGACCTGTCCAGGGTGTCCCCTGTCTTCACCCTAAGTCAGCTGGGATAGACTCCAGCCCCCCGCGACCCCAGTGAGGATTAAGCGGTGTATAGATAATGGATGGATGGATGGAATATGTAGAATATGAGCAGGTATGATGACGCTTTGTGCTCAGTCCTGTTCTGTGAGCTGATCTTGATATTGTGTGAGTTCCCGGATCTAATTGTGATAGTTTTACTACTTGAAACGTTGTACACTCCCGTGTTTATTTGTGTTAGTCATTAAAGTGAGCAGCCCGGCACAAACAAGAACTTAATCTTTATGCACACCTTGCATGACTACGCTTATTTCAGCCTTGTAAGGGTTTCTTATACTAAAGGTCAAAAAAACAAAACAGTCTGTCGTTTCAGTACTGCTCTCTAAATCCCAAGACTTCTTTCAGGCTGTGTGGGATTTCACGCTGGTAACAAACCGTGCCTAATTTCTTCTTCTAATTACTGGAAATCTGTGGCAGATGACAAGAAAGGGACTCTGCACTAAAGCAGTTTAATGTCAGAACTTCTTATCATGAGACGCAGGAATGAGGAGAGTCTCTCAGGGTCAGACATACGGATTAAAAATACTGCTTCTCTGTTTTTCCTGCCTAATAAAAGGTTTGCTTTAACTGTTTAATTTGCCGTAAACTGCCTGACGACTGACCCCGAGGTCTGACAGTAGAGAAAAAGCAGTTTGAAAGAAATAACAACACAATGGCAGCCCATTGGGAAATAAAAAAAGACACTGGGGGATCATGAAAGTCCGTTTTTTTTTTCTCTCATTTATCTATATTTTCTTATTCGGACTGAAGCTGAGCACAAAGGAGAGGACAAACAGGCGCCACGTCTTCTGCTAATGCACAGTTTGCACTTTTTATTGTTGCCTCATTCACTAAACAGTTCAATGGTGCAAGATTACCATACACAGAATTAGGATATCTGCATGACACATCTATGCTATACAGCGAATGGATTATAATTATTACAAATACAGTAAACATATTTACATTTTAGTTCAAGCTCCATACAACACAGATATTTACAAAATAAGTATGAAAATGAAACCAGTATGACAAATAATGTACAGTGTTAATGTCATGGTCTTGTCTTTTTTTGTCTTTTTTTTTTCTTTTTTGGTGAACAAATCCGAAAAGGGAGTTAACTGATATTAATCGTCAGAGGAGGAGGGGGGGGGATGGAAAATATCATGGCTAGTTAAAGGCATCAACGGAAAAAAACAAAATAAAGTGTTGAGTTGAAGAAAGACACAAACGATAGTATACTGTCATTTTCGATTTTCACTAGCTACTTTGTGTTATATTCCCTGATATTAGAAAAAATAAAATGAGTTAGAAACCACCTGTTTTGTCTTCATGTGATAGAATTCTGACGGCTGGTTAGTTAGGATGGGTAGTGAGTAAATATTCGATTCGCTCAAACCGCTTTCCGATAAAGAGGAAGCACTAATGTAACCCGCGTCCTGCGAGGAGGTGCGGTGGGTTACATTTTAGGTCTCTTTTTCCTTTTTTTTTAAAAGAAGGAAAAAAAAAAAAAACACATCTTTACATTCAACTCTCTCCCAGATGGGACTGGAAGAGGCTGCCACGCCGACATTTGGTTCATTATGAGCAGAACAACTAAACCGCACAGACTTTATTTGATCAGTTAGTTGAACCTTTTATTAATATGTGCAAAGAGCTGCAAACTAATATGTACATTGCAAACAATAAATACACAATCCAAAATAATATACCTCTGCAAATTAGTCACTGAGGTGAGAATGTTTGCTCTGACAGGCGCTCGTATCGGTTCTTGAGGGTTTTTGTGAGGTACGGTGCACTTGGAGCTTCGATCAGTGCATAGATGCTTCGTCGTTATGTCTTCATGTGGGGCAGGGAAAGTGTTTTTCCCAGAAAATGAGGATAAAGCAGGTTTTTGTTTCTCTGACCAGCAGGTTGGTTGACCTGAGGGCAGGCGACTTTATGTCATTTTTCAGTTTTGAGGGGAAAGTTTTGTGTCTTTTACAATGAAGATAAATCACCAAGAATTACGCTAACACAGGCAATGGGTGCCTCTGTTTCTACTTTACACCTTAAATTCCCTTTCATATGACACAGTAGGCGTACTGCTGGTTGGTCGGCCAGAGTTTATTAACGCCCATCTGCATTTCTAAACACACATCTCCTTCATTAGTAGAACCAGAGGCTCCCAAGTGCAGCACTCGCGGCGCAGAGCAAACATTTTCACGAACAGCATCAAGAAATAAAACCTTTGAATATGTCGTCCCTTTAATATCACGTCTTTCTTTCTAGTAAACCTTTTGAGAAACAGCTATCATCCAGTGTAGCCTCTGATATGTGCTCTTGTCATTGTTCCTGATGCTCAGAAATAAACCTGGACTCAACATATGCGATCTGCCTTTTAGACTTTTTTGCTATAGATATGTGTTAATGTGCAAAATAAGGTTAAACACCAAATACATGATGTCGGTTACAAATTAAGAAATAAATGCCCTCTGTTACATTTCGTATAAAACTTCACTGAGGAATGGTTAAAAGAATAAGAGAGGAAAAAAAAAAAGATGTTAATAAAAAACAAAAGTCAACACAATGAGAGTTAGATGAGCTTCAATTCGAGAACACAAATCGAATATGAACAACCTGTGGTGCAGCACTTCACTTTAGAGATTTGAACCCGACGCTGGTGTGACGGCGACGGGAGACTGAATCTGTATCTGTCCTGCAGGCGATATGCTTCCTCAGCTAAACTGCTTCATTCTCTTTCTCGCTTCTTCCTCCCACTTCATCGAGTTTTGTCTTTTTTTTTTGCGTGAAGGTTCAACTGAACGTTAGCGCGGCTCTCTGGAGGTCTCAGCGTGTTAGTGTAAGCTAGAGGAGCTAAAGAGGAATGTCTTAAATGAGCTACCACACTGATCCCAGAACGGACTGTATGTACAAATGAAACTCTCTTTCTCTCTTTTTAACGCTGTCCATCTTCCTCCTCCCAAATCCATCGCCTCCTTGAAACCCTGTTTTTTTTTTGTTTTTTTTTCTTGAGATGAAAAAAGCAAAAACAACAAATATCTACTCCTGCAGGAACAAATCCGCGGAGATGTGAGATTCTTACATTTTTTGCTCGTTGTAGCGTGAATTTTTCGATGTTGACACAAATGCATGAGTGCTTACTCACTGACTAACTGACTGACTGACACTGGCACTATTGGGGTTTTTTTTTTTTGGAGTTATGTACACAGACTGAGGAGTTGGATCTAAATATCACCAAGAAATCCATTCCTGCCCTCATGTCTCGCTGACAAATTTAGAGCTTTTTGTTTAGGAGACGGTTCGGAGGGGAGGCGGGAGTCTGCTTTAGGAAGAGGCAGCGGCCTGATGCAAATCTCATGACGAGAAAACAAAAAAAAATCCCTAGAAATTTCTTAGCAGCAATAGTTCATGTAGCAGAGCATAAACTAATACATCACTTGGAGATATTTGTACTTATTCCCTTCATGATTTCAACAGTAGGTTATCTGATTTGTTTCTTTTTTTTTCTTCCAGTGATTAAAGTTGGTCTTCTCCTGAGGACTGCTGCAGTTAACATGCCAGCATAATATATAAAAAAAAACAACAACCCAAAAATAAAAGTTGTTTTGGGAGACAAATAACACTGATATAGACATTTTTTTTCTCGCTTTTTTACAGAGATGATTGGCAAACTGAAAATTAGTGGCCAGAAAGAACAGCTTCTGAAGAGTCGTGCACACACAAGTAGACTACTACAACATGCTACTAGTTAGGGGAGTTTGGGAATGACAACAAAGCGGGACGAAAATTAGACCCAAACATCGTCATAAAAAACAGAAACACAAAAAGCTGAGGGGGGAGGAAATAGAGAGGAGGAAAGCTAAGTCGGCAGAGGGTGGCTGGAGGAGGAAGGGGGGAGGGGGGGAGAGGCAAATTTGTCTGGAACTGAAACTTTTAGTCGCATGAAAGGAGACTTAAGCCACAAGTCTACTTACAAGAGAAAACCGTCAAGAATCACAATGATTAATAAGTGTTAACACTTGGTATGTTCAAAGGCTTTTCAGAAAGAATGGAAGCCGTGGTTTCCTGTGCGCCACTCGACTCACTCAGTTCTTCGTCAGGCCGCTGCGCCTCCTCGCCAGCTTAGATCTGAGGGGACAAAAGGGTTTTACATCAGGATGAGACGAGAATGTCACTTCTGAGGAATGTAGAGCCGCTACATGTTAACGAGCCCATAGTGTTGATGTACAGGCTCATAATTAGGGTTTTTTTATTGGTCAATTAGAATGTGTTTACGTCCATTATTGTCAAAAAACTAGGGCTCTACCAATAATGGTGTTTTTTTTTTTTTTTTACCCTTTATCGATAATCAAAAAAGACTGATGACTAATATCTGAAACCATCAATACAAATGATATGCTTTATATAAACAGCATGTGATAGCAGAGATCCTGTCATTCATAACCAGGCTTCTGCATAATGAGGATTTCTAGAACTGGATATAAAGAGTAAAAAGAGGAATGACATGATGCTGGATGCTCTTCTCTGTTTCCTGTGAGGTCGACTGATTGAGACTGAACACTTTGCCTCCTGCTGTTCTTCTCTGTTTTATGATTCTTTCACTGTTTTATCAATGTTATTGCCCACAAAGTATCTCTAAGTGTTATATCTTATTGTTTTCCAGTCTCTGTTTCTGGGTAATCTGTGGCCGTCTTCTAATTAAGCTGCTAGCTGCTAGCGTAGCCTTAGCCACTATGAAAGAAGCCAATGTTGTGATTTGTAGCGATGGCGGTGCTTCCTGATCAGTTTTTGCAGATTGTGTCTCTGCTAGAGAGACGTGTCTGTCAGTTACAGCAGATTGTTTAAGGTAATCTTTAGATTGCGTACGGCGAAGGTTAAACGGCCCACCAAAGTTCTGAGCAATAGCCGTAGCATCATCAGCAAAAAAGGTTCCAGCTGTGTCACAACAACACCACGTGGATTATTGGGCCTTTTTCTGTGTAACGATGAAACTGTGCACCGCTTGTAGAAGATTGTTTATTACAACTTTAGCAACATCTGCTATCTCACCTTCAACACACAGCTCTGCTAATTTACCTGAACTGCTCCACTCTGTAAATGCCCTGTCCTTGTCTGTAAGCAGTAGCTTTCAGTGTTGATTGGCTGCTACTTGTCACCAATCAGGTAGAGCTGTGGGCGGGACATTGCTGAGACAACAGTGATTACAGAGAGAGGGAGCTGGCTGCATCGGAGCTAAAGTAGAATATTCAATTTATTTTATCTGTAATCGCTAAATGAAAATAACGTGACTGCTAATAGGAAAAATGTAGATTATCAGCCCAAATAAGGTCCCCCTCCTGAAAATCCTGCTGAATGTTGGTTACATAGAGTAACACCAAATCCATGAGTGTAGGGAGAGAGACGTAGCATGAGCAGAGCTGGCTCCCCTGAAGAAATAATTTCAGACTGCGAGGCAGCTGCTCGTTCATTATTTGAGGTCAGAACTAGCTGCTAGGCAGGCGTTATGCAAATGTGTTTAATAACAGAAGAGGGCCCGGACTTCTAATGAGGTGTTTCAGGTAGGTAAGCAGCAGTGTTTTCTGTGGGAGACAATAACTCCCTTTGGCGTGGACCTACATTTGTAACTTTGCAGACCTTTTGTATGCATGAAAAAGCTTCAGATTACACTAAAGGAAAGAGAGAATAAAAAAGCTCTTTAACTGCTGTGTGACAGAAGTGGGTGGGTGTACCTTATCGTTCCTGCTAGCAGAGGATTAAAGGCGTACAGCCAGTCGTTCATGTCTTTCTCGTTGTTGGCCTGCAGGAGGATTCCTCGATGTTTTGTGCACACAGCAAACGTGTTGGGAGTCTGAAAAGAAAACGTCAAACATCTGTCATGTCACACATCTAATTTACACGCAAGCTTTAAGGAAAAAGGAAAAGTTTTTTTTTTACATGTGTTGCCGTTGTGACTTGCAGAATAAATCACTGTCTGATGCATGAGTTGTGCTTATAAACTTGATACAGTGGGTTTTTTAAAACTTAAAACCCCACCTTAAGCATGGCCTGCTGGTCTTCGCTGTATTCCACCTGCGCTGTGGAGAGGTTGAGGACGCCTCGCTCCACTGGGTCCTTGTCACTGTTGTAGATGAAGACGTAGGGCCGGCGAACAACCACAAAGTGCTTCACCCACGAGTTTGAGCGTGGCTCCATGAAGCTCAAGAAACCCTTCTTGGACACAACAGATCTGAAAAGACATCAAAAAAAAAAGAGAAATCGGTTAAAGGAGTGCTTGTTTTCCTGAGGAAGAATGTGATCGATTTAATTTGCTTCCGGTTGAAATCATCCGGGTTCAGCAAGTTAAAATCAATTCACATCATTTCTGCTTGAATTAGAAAAACAAGGTTATTGAAGTCAGTTTGGGCTGTGAGGTACATCTCATATTGACAGTGTTTTTATTTCGCTGGAGCACAGAGGTCAGACATGCGAACAGGCTAACATGACTTCACTCACCCTGGCCTCATTTCTTCAATATCAGGCACCAAGTTGAGGAACTCGTTCTTTCCAGCTCGGGCAAGGTAGGACGTCTCCAGAGTGGGAACCATTGGAAAGTTTTCATAGTCTGAGCAGGAAGGACTGGAGGCACGAGAGCTGTTCTCTGGGGTCCTTAGAAACAAAGCGAGCCAAGTTAGCATCATGGCAACCCATGTCAATAATCTCAACCTTTATGTGGAAGGTGTTTGGAGAAAAGCTTTACTTCTGGTCTATGGAGCCACAGCGGGAGTCGGACAGAGAGGGGCAGGTGGAGGAGGGGGTGAGGGTGGCACTGCTGAAGCTGGTCACTGATGTGTCACGTCCCATGGGTGAGATGTCAGAGAGCTAGAGTGCAAAACAAGAGGCAAAGGTAGATCATAAATACACCAACTTCCTAGTGAGACGCAACACTGTAGTCATTTGTCAGCATATCCAAATAAAAAGTGACAAAAGTGAGGTGTGTGACTTTTCCCACCTTGCAGTCACTGATGCTGTTGACCACCTGGTTGTATTCACTGTTGAAGGTGTGTGTCAGGAGGCGCAGGCACTAGAAGACAACACAGATGAGAGCGATCAGTTCACAGCAGAGGAGGAGAAGCAGCTGTTCAGGGACAAGCTTCACTGTGAATATCCCACAAAACAGACTTTCTCCTCACCTTAGTAGCCAGCTCCTTCTCACGATCCACCAGGCTCTCGATGTCAGCGGAGTCGTAGCCGCTGCTCTCGCTGGGCGTGATGGCACTTTCAAAGGTGGTGCTGGAGATCTGCGAGGAGATGGAGGTGGAGGTGGACAGGGTGCCTGAGCTCATGCTGGGCGACAGACTCTCGCTCAGGGACTTGGTGGTCGGAGCTGTTCCCACTGGAGCTGCCTCTCCCAGCTTCTCCCTCAGCAGGAGGAGATGACGGGTCTTCTCCACCTGGACAAATGGCAGGTAGAAGTTAAGTCTCTACTCCAAGATGAAACGTTTACAAGAAACTGTGGATAATTTACTTGGAAGACTACGATCTTAGAGTGAGACATTAAGGAGTTAGAAAAAGCAAGAGAAACTATTTAAGGAAAGGTTTACAAGGTCAAAATGAGACTATTGTTTTCTTTAACATAACCTTTAAGGTTTGGAATATGTTTCTGAAGGTCCCACCTCATGCAGCTGCTCCATTTTCTCCAGCTCCCATTGGTGCTCCAGGATTAGGCTGTCTCCTCTGGGCCTCCACCCGGCCAGGTTCTCCTCTCCTCGCACATAAGCCACTGATGTGTCCAGGATCTTCCTCCTCCTCCTCTGCATCCCTGCTCAGGACAAAAGCACTCATTAGAAAGAAGTTCTCAAAGGAAGCATGATAAATCTCTTCTTCAAACATTTCTTTAAATGATTTTTCAGTCTGCTCACCTGGACTTCCGGTGTCAGACATCTTGCACAAGCTCAGCTCGTAGATGCCAGTGACTCGGTTGCTGTAAAAAACAAACAAACAAAAAAAGCAGAGGAGGTTCTGTTAACACGGCAGAAATATTGTTTATTTATCAGAAAGTTGATCCAGCGATACAAATGGCAACAATACCAGTCAGGAGTTTTGGAGTATCCACTCCCGAAGAGGTTCCTGAGAGAACGGGGAGGAGAGATCTTGGCGTCTCGGGAGTAGAAGACCATGCAGATGTCTTTGGTAATAATTGCAGGCTGGATGCAGTGGTCCAGCTGTGAAGAGGAGACACATGGAGTGTGTTAGCAGCACTGAACCCCAGAGATGAAAACTAACAGAGCATCTCTGCAAACAGCTACAACACAGTGAAGTGGTGACAGACCTCCAGATATGCAGACAAGGTCATGTAGATCTTCTCTCCATAAGGAGTGACTCGGTTTAGCAGGAGGGAGTTGTGCAGGGAGCTGTCCCACACTGCCTCAAAACGATAGAAAGTCCTGAAGGAGAAAACCCAAGAAAGACACAAAGAAATTAACTTCCACAGTGTTATCTACTCTAAAGTACTACTTAGTGCTTCTGTGGGGATACAGCAGGGTGTAATTCTGTGGAAGAACTTGTGAATAACCTCACAGTGGTTCAGAAGTCATTCTGTCAATGATGACGTGAGCACAACCCTAACAGATGAGGCAGTGAACACTGTGCAGTGACTGAAGTGACCCTCACACTTAGCTCTCGTCATAACAAGATGTGAGGAGACACATCTGGTGAGACCTTGACAACAGACACAATAGGAGCCACAGAGTGTCAGGAATCAGCTGGTGCAAACCAGGATGGTGATACAAAGAACATGAAGCTTATATGTTCAATATGTCATATTTATGCTAAGATACTCGTCATGCACCATAAAGCAGTAATGAAAGAACTATCGAACTACGGCACAGATGCTAAACCAGCAGGAAAACATCGGCTGACTGCTATTCGTGAGGCTCTGTATGAGGTTGCGCTGTTCCTGTTCTTGGCAGCAGGGGGCGTGCTTACCCACAAACTGAGAGAAAGAACTGCTCTGCTGGTGCCTCGCTGGCCTTGAGCGTTATTGAGTTAAGACCCACACAGTGAAAAACAACTGAGAGGAAAGCATTCATTTAGAGATGTCTGGGTGCCACAGAAGATCAACACACCACTGTGGTTGGAATTGAGGACACAAAATCACAAACTAATACAAAAAAGGGGTTGCATTTGCATCAAAGATCGCCTTTACTTGTCCATTAAGAATTTTGATTTTTTTTTTTAGGTTAAAAATGAATAAAGACAGATCTTATGCAACATGCCAGATGTGAAGAACTTATTTCTAGAATCTATAGGACTAAAGAGAAGCATAAAGGTCTTTCAGTGAAGGAGCCTTATGTTCTCTGATCACTAGTACCTATCAATATCCTTATCAATAGAAAGCCTGAGCACAATCAAGAGTCCAGCCGCAGCAGGAGGAAAGAGAGTGCACAGAAAAAAGAGAGAAGCACAAAGAGTCAGGCAACAAAGGCAATGAAGCAAACAAACAGGAAAATTAACAGCAGTGAAATGGAAATGGTCATGCAATGATTTCAATGTGACTTCAGCAAATATAAAGACAAACACACTAAACATTAAACAGCATACAAACAGTTTTAAAGAAAAACAAACAAACTAAAAAACATGACTAGAAGTTAATCATGACAAAATGATGATTGCTGTATTTATAAAAAAAAAAAAGAAAGAAAGTGCTTCGTGACAGACTTGGACTGGACATCTTATATTGTGTCTAGTGTGTGTTCACTTTTTATTACAGACAATTTACCTTTAAAGCTAGACAGAGCCAAACCAATTCAAAGTGGGCATTGTACCAACCTGTTGGTGTTGTGGGATGACTTGATGTTCTTGGCAGAAATGATGTTAAGGGACAGGACAGCATCCGCTGCACTATCGTCCACTTCAGCCTTGTTCCTGATACGACCTGGTGGGATACAGACGAGCACGAAACATCAGTGTGATCATTAGAACTAATTATTACCTTTGAGGGAAAATAAATGCTCAACATAGGAAATCAATCAGCAGTTTAACAGCCAGTTTGTCCACTAACAGCCATATTATCACAGGATCGAGCACAAAGACATGCATCCTCACTCATGAGCCTCTGGATAAAACTGTCATGAGCTAAATGTGGAAAATAGGAAATGTAATTATTTGGTCCATCAGCTGTGGCTGAAGCATAAACTGCTTCAAGTGAGAGGCCGCCTGAAGCAAAACAGGCACATCTTACCAGATTGGAACTATTACTGAGAACACTGTGTGGTGTTTTTAAACGTGTTGTGTAACTCTCTCGTCCTCTAGTATTGAACAGCAGTGCTTTTGTGTTGCTGGTTCCTGCTTGCTGTTGCGAGGCAGTACTATTAATCCCTGAGGGAAGACAACTCACCCACAACCAGCTCGCGAACGTCCTTCCAGTGGAGCTCGCTACCCTTCTCATGGATGAGAGTCACCGTGATTCTCCGCTGGATCCCCTGCAGCAAACAGGACAGGAGCTTAGGACGGCAGTACACACAGCTAGAACAAAGTTAAGCCTCTACATGTTTCTCACTGAGAGGAAATATCACTGACTTGTCTAAACTTTTTTACATTTTGTTAAAACAAGAACATATTCAATTCTCTTTATAGTGGCAGGTTGGCAAATATGTGTGAATTTTGTGCTCAATGACTGGTGTGAGTAGTCGGAAAGGTGTGGATCTCCAGTACCTGGTGCAGCAGGTAGGTGCCATGGCAGGGCAGTCCTCCACTGTGATCCACTACAGCTGGGATGTACCTGAGCAGGAAGGGAGGTCACAAACAGACATTAACAACATTACAACTCACTTTATGAGTATCATGAGTATAAAGGATCGCCACTGTTGCAAACTCTTAAGCTTAAACTATTTTAAACTCAAATCTTTCAAATATTTTCATGTCGTTCATCCTGACTTTTTGCTTTTATGTTAGTAGGTAAAGACTTTAAAAATGCCCTCATTATTTATTTAGGTATTTACTGCATTCATGGCCATGATTGTAGCAGGTAGGTACTGAAGGACGGATTTATACATATGGTGGCATTTCATAAAATATGACTCTTAGTGGTACACAGAGGTTCTGTGTAAATCCTCTGAAACCTAAAACCTGCCCACAGGTTTGAAAAGTATATCATGTTTTTAAAGAATAGACAGAATTCCACCATTTATCAGAGCTAGAGTTGTGAAAACAGAAAGAATTGTCAGGTTTTCAACTTTCCAACTGTCCTGGAACAATTCATCTGTGATGTGCTCTTCCCTCAGAAAAAGGAACCAAATCTAAATCTGATATTTCATCAAAGTCCCTTTATTCTAGAGGGCACATTTAAAGATTTGCCAAAAGTAAATCACGTCCCCTAACCAGGTTCTGTAAAATCACAAAAAGTGACTCACTGGCAACCAACAGTCACATAACAAAATTTCAGACTGGACTGCAGGCTGTGTTTTCAGTATGTCTGTAGTGTGTAGAGCCACCACTTCTTTTTCCAACATTGGCAACATATGAGCGTGTATAAGAAAATAGTGTACATGTTATTTTCTTTATTTTTTAATTTTAACAAAATAATCAAAGAAATACAACTTTCTTTTTTTTTTATGATTTATGGTATTCCAATGTTGTTAGACTGCAAAGACATTTTAGAGTTTTTTCTGCTTCTAGGTGTGGTTGCACTATTTCTGTAGAAGTGCAGTACTTTATGATGCTGTAAAAAAATGAGCTCACAGTGAGTAAACATGTGACAGGAGCAAAAAAAACAGCATGACACAGCTTGGTTGTTTACAGGCTTCATCGACAGATTTCTTACGTACTTCTTCCTGAAACATACTGAAACTGTTTAACAAGTTTTATGTGTTTTTGTTTTTTTTAAAAGCACTCATAAAGAACATCAAGAGTCTAACAACTGATGATCTCATTGTGTATGTGAATATTAGACACTCAGGTAAATACTTACTCTCCAGTGGGCTCCAGCTCGCTGATCTCAAACCAGACCAGCAGATCATACTTGCTGACACACTGACCCAGGTTGGACTTGGTGATGGTGTTCAGCTTGGTGGCTGGAACTAACACATAAACACACAGGCTCAATATGCTTAATTTAGAATTTCCTTTACTTTCAAAGCGGGGGAATGACGGTCTGGGACAGACATTAACTGCACCATTTGGATTACTAATTGGAGGATGGATATGTGACGCAGACACACTGCTGACGTTGGATACTGAGTCATTAACCCCCACACGTAAATGACATATTATTGAAGAGAATCACAGAAAACAGAAGCTGGAGGTAATGCAGTGCAGTCAAACTAAACGGTAAATGTGCTGTGAGGGGCTAAATCACAGATTACACCACCACTGACAGCCCCCTGCTGTCTGACACATCAGGATTATGTTCCTGTTGAAACGGGCTAATCTCTGTGGCACACAGTTACATTCATTTGTGTACAATATGGCTGAAAGGAATATTATTTCCCATTTAAACTACTGTAATTAGAACGCTAAAGGCTTCGGCCTCCGGAGTTGGAGCTAGGCTGTGAATGCCAAGTCAGTGATCTTCTATGATTATGATAAATACTCATTTCTCGGTTTGGCTTGAGATTCAGCAAATGCAGCAGATTTACCTGAAGATGTCACCTCAGGCCAGTTTCTAAGCGACAGGGGAGGGTTGGATTGAGCTGACAAGACCTAAATACGCTGCAGCGAGGTGCAGCACACATCACCACTGCAGAGCTTTGTTGTGCTACTACCTGCAGTCACAGAGCACCACAAGAGCAAAGCACAGCGCTAGTCTAATGACTACAACACAGATGCATCTGATGCCTAGCTACCACAGAGTCCGCTGTACCAACCGTGGTGCCTGGGCACAATTAGCACGGGGTCATTGGGCACTGCGAGGAATGGGAAGTGAGAGAGCTGGTCAGCCTCGTCCTCCAGACTGGCCACAGCGGAGGAGGCGAGGGCGTTGGCGTGCTCAGACAACGTGTCCAGCACTTTGCCGTTGACATAGCCGCTCATGAGGTAGCGGACCAACTCTATCTTTCTTGTATGGTCTGCGTGTGCAACGTATGATATCGCACGGGGGGTGAGAAAGATTGGAAGGGAAGTGTGAATAAAGAGATGTGGAAGAGGGAGGAGAGAGTTGGGTAAGAGGATTATAAATTGTATGATTAAAAAAAGAGACAAAAAAAAAATCCAAAGGAAGCGAGAAATGAAAGAAAAAGTGGAAGGACATATGAGGCACGCTTATGTAACTGTAACGAACACAAAATTATGCTGAAACGATGGTGACAGGTGCAGAACATATTGCTGCTTCAGTAAGTATGTAATGACATTGAAATCCTTACCTGGTTTAGACAGAGGCATGGGGATGGGGTAGTATTTCCTCGATGGGGTTGGAGGACTGTTGAGACAAATGGAAAATTAAAACTACAGAAAATATGCACTTCTGAAGAACATATTTTAGCCATCATGACATAGAAAAATCTGGTATACACAAGAGCTCTATAGAAGAACTGCTTTTTAAACGTCACCTACCTGATCAGGTCCTGGCCGTGAAGGTGCAGTGGGTGCTGCTGGTAGTGGCCGAACACTTCAAACACGATGGGTTTGCTCTTGATGTATTCAATAAAGGACTCCGTGACCTCGACTGAAATCTGCTCAAATGGTTAAAAAAGAAATTGTCAGACATATGTAATTTAAAGTTGTCAAAGTACAGCTTGTGTGTGTGTGAGCAGGTGTGTGTGTGTGCACTCACATTCTGGACGTGGTAAAAGCCCAGAGGAGCTCCTTTGCCGGCGTTCTTCAGAGGCTCAGTGGAAAAAGCCTCATCGTGGCGATGCAGGAAACTAAAGGAACACAAACGCATGTCAGTGTGTCGCATTCATTTTTTGATGCAATGAATTTAAAGATGTTTGCTTATTTTTGTTTCTGTTACTCTTCACTGGCATTATTAATGTATTTTTTTTTAATTAAAAGATTATGTTACATCAGTCATCCTATTGTCACAAATCTTCACTGGTGGAATTTAATACATTTACTATGGTACTGTACTTAAATAAAGTACATCAGAATTGTATTAAAATATTTCCATGTTTTGATAATTCTATACTTCTACTCTACGACATTACAGAGGCAAATATTGTGATTTGTACTCCACTTTATCCATCTTAAAGCTTTAGTTACTGTTCATTTTGCATATTTAGATTACTAATATGAAATATAAACTGACAAAAATGATTTTTCATTGTAGGTTAAGCTGCCCAGCAGTGGAAAAAAAGTAAAATCACCACCAGCTGCAACATTGAAGTGATATACACATGATCATAATCATAATCCAATAATATAATATACATATGATTTTACATAATGAGTACTGTGAGTTTAGGTGTTCTGAGTTTGCCAATAATTTTGTACTTTTACTCTCTTCAGTTTCTTTAGTTGTAGTATTATTTATGCTTTACAGTAGTTTTCCTCTGAAAAGGCTGTTTTTACTCTTTTTTTTAAATCAGTAAGTTCAATGGCATATATAAACATTGATACATTTACAATAGTGCCTCTCAACAGTTTGACAAAAGACACCAATTGATATACAACACACTTTACAGCTTTGATATCAATTAATCAGAGTCTTTACTCTGCCACTATTGTGGACTCACTTGAATTGGCAGAAGATGTCGGCGTACTCAGGTGGAACTCCGCTAGCCTGGAGCACAGTAACACGAAAGGTAAAGATACTGCCCACCTCCAGCTGGCCTGCCAGCCCGTCGCCATGACTCAGCTTGGTGTCTGCAATGTTTCCCAGCTTGAGGTCTGAAGAAAAAGCCATAGACAAAGGTTAGCGGGACTTGTGCATTGATTTACTAAAAAAATGACCCAAGACTGCACCTGTGATTGTGCTTCGCAATCTGCATATGAATCCTAAGCTCTGCACAATACCATCAGACTGGTTTCTGCACATTTTCAAGCTTAAAGTGATTTGTTGAGCTGATTCTGCTGTTCAGTCATCAAACAAACATTCCTTTACAGAGCAAGAAAAACTGCAAAAAGTCTCATTTCCATGACAAAACATTTTAAGTCCTCCTTTGCATTCAACAGGACCATCTGCCAAGTGTGTTTCCCCCTGGGATGAGAGGTCGACTTTTACGAGTGGCGAGGTGAAGGTCTGGCAGCCGTACCCATGTCATTGATTCTGTTGAGCTCCTCTGAGGGGGTGATGACCTCTGAACTCTGACCCTGGCCCTCCACAATGCGAAGCTCTTCCAGAGACAAGCCGGAGCGGGTCATAACCGTAGAAGGAAAGTCGTTCTGATTGGCGGGAAAAGAGATGCAAGAGGATGCAGGGGAGAGCATTAACATATAGCTGCTATAGTGTGAAGTACTAGTAGTGGTAGTATTGTGTAACATCATATGATTGAGGCTAAAAACTATATTTCCCTTTCCTTATTTGTGTTATATTAATAGGGAGATAAGAAACAGCATAATACTCTAACTAAGCACAACATCCTGCGCTGACTTGATGTTTTAACCCAAATATTACACACCCACCGTCTCACGCACAGAAAAAGTGTGTCTCTGAGTTCTGAACGCCTTTCATCTGATTCAGGGCTCACCTTTTTGAAGTATTCATCATCAAAGGAAATCTTGGCGGTTCCTGACTGTCTAACTCCTGACCCGTAGTCTGGAGCCTCCTCGTCAGCTACAGAAAGACAAACCATCTTATCAGGATGTATCACAGACGCAGCTGACTTAAACCGCCAAAGCACATCAAAAGCAGAGGAAAATCTAAGGGAATCTTTTCTTTGCCAGCAGATCAGTGGCATGAAGAGCCCTTCAACATGTCGTCACACTGCTATCAAAACAGAACCACGCATTCATCAAGTCATTTGGTTTGAGTAAAATACATTAATGAAGCAGCATAAAGACTCTAAGACAACATATGGCACTCGTATATTATCAGCAGCAATGTTTTTATCTGCTCCAATCGTCTCGCTCATTAAAGAATCTCATTAATTACTCACCAGCTATAGCCTGGACCCCCACGCGCAGGAAACCACGCACCTCGCCCTTCTCTGTTACTATGGCAACACGGTGAACCAGTGGTACGGGGTACAGCAGGTTGCTCAGGTACACGAAAGCTCTGAGAGTAAACAGGAGGGGAGAGATATGAAAAGCTGATTGTGGCGCAGTGTGGAGCAACCGCTGCAGTCTTATGAAGCAGAAAACACTGGATACATGGTGGCGTATGCTGTCTGGTTACATAACTGACATCTCTTGCATTTAATTAAGCTTTCTGAAAGCAGATTAAATATACACTTTAGGAAAAAAAAAATCTGAGGAGCGACTTGGAGACAGTTTTCAGATTTCTCTACACATTGACAAATATGCCTTTCCAATGATTTGAACATTTTACCTTGTGCACAAACATTTCCGGTGTTTAGCATAGATTAGGGACTACAATAACATACAGTCAAATATTAGTGACATATGTGTGAAGGGATGAACAAAAACAAATGAAAAAAAACCCAAAGTGAACATAAAACCAAACATGCTTCAGGGCGTTGAAATCAGCAGCAGCTTAAACCTTGTGTTTTATTTTTAAACTGAGTGACAGGGTGATGACAGATCGCCCAGGATGCAGCTGGAAAGGCTGTAAAAAGTGGTTTATTGTGTTGTGTTATGGTGTTGGTAGTCTCTCACTTACACACTCACTGACATTTTGTTTTGTGGGACATGATTTGCTTCTCTGCACCCCCGGTGACCTACTCCTTTTCTGCCACTCCCCCACCCTATCCTCTCCATCCCAGTGCTGGGAGAATCAAGGCCAAGACAGAGGAGAGATATCAATCTGTAAAAGCTCTGAAGTCACACTGACGCAGGTAGCTGAGCTACAGCTTAGCAGAGTCTGGCTTGGCTTGAAGCCTGCACGAATCTGTCGTCTCATTCTGAGAATGGCACCGTGTTTATTACCCAGTTATTATGTTTACAGCGCCGAGGCTACAGCCTTGGTACAACGTGTGCTGTGATTTCAACGCTGCTGCTGCATATTATTTCATCATGACAATGAATTAAGGTAAAGTAAAACAACAATTAACTGCTAGGGAGTTAATATAAACTACAGTACATTTCATGAACAATGTTAATACAAAGTTGTGAAGAAAAATAAAATAAACACAATGTAATAAATAAAATAAACAAAAAAAAATCAACCAAGGTTTAAAGGATAAAAAAAAAAAAAACATAAATGACAAACATTTAATTAGCTTTAAAACAGCAAATACATGTATTCCACACACAGAGAGGAGTTAATACGGTGAGCGCTGGGATGGTGGCGGGGGATGAGACATCATGCTGGGAGGAGGTGGAAAGAAAAAGATGATGGCTTTTCAATTTTTGGGGACTCAGTCTAAATTAAAAGTTGGAGATAAAAAGCAGCCCTGTGAGCACAGAAGTATGACTAATCATATTAAATTCAAAAGGGGTCCATTTTATCTGTGACTGCTTTTAGTCCAAGATCTGACTCTTTCACAAAGGAGGGCTTTACTAATTATTAGTAAGTGACATGCTCACAATATTTACTGACATCTGTAAGCTTATAACTTGCCAGCTGTTAAGCTAATATATGAACAGATTGTGTATAGTATCAGACATGCTGCTGTGTTTACATCTCTACTGCACTGTTTTTGAGTGCAATGTCAGTCTGTTCAAAATCTCCTAAAAATCACGAGCATCCTTTATTTGCATGATGATACAAGAGGTGGTTTATCACCTACAGTCATTTGTCTTGATCATTTTTCCCCATTTGTCTCACTTTCCTTTATATCTGCATGCAAAAACCTAATTAAGCCAACATCAGCTCCAAACTCCTTCCCCAGCCTGCATGTGGAGGATGAGCACAAGCCACTGCCAGTCACCAACCTTCCCACCAGGATGAACCACGGGGAGCGGTCGTAGAAGGGGTCCTGGCCGTCACTGAAGATGTCCGAGCCCTCCTCGGTGCCGGCGTCCGAGCTGGTGTCGTCCACAAACGCCTCGTCGTCGATCAAGTCGGACATCTCGCTCTGGCGCTCGTCGGCGAGCTCTGTGATCTCAGAGTCGGTGGTGGAGAACGTGGGCGAGGGCGTGCGGTCGGCCAGGTGCTCATTAACGCAACCGTGGAAGATGGGGGAGCTTAGAGGGTTGGTAGTTTGGGAGCAGCAGCGAAAACCAAGGAAAAAAGGTAACAGTGGAGTGATGGCAGAGTTAAAACAGGACGCAGCAGCTCAGGAAGTATGGCAACCTTCACTTTAGCATTTTATATAGAATTATTTGTAGTAATTTCCTACCACAAATCACACAAAACAACCTATAATTAAAAAAAAAAAAATCAACTAACTGTAGCTGGACACTCATCAGCAAAGATGGCTTGCTTTTTTTCTAGCCGTAATTATAGGCCTTTATTCACTCCAATAAATCAATTGGAGGAGCTATTGCAAATGTAGCTGTAGGATTCATTTCATAAAGAGCAGGTATTAAGCTAATAGGTGTCAGAGCAGTTTATGGAAACGTGAGCATTTTAAACCAAAATGAAACGGCACTTTTAAGGATTAACGTATAAATCGTCTCATGTATGCTGGGTGAAAGAGGATAGAATACAAAATGCCACAAATGTTCACATTATCCAAATCCACTGTGTTGGTGACAAGCTTTCGTATGAATTACAGGCAACATCAACATGAGAACGGCAACACACACAGCAAAGGATGGAAGAAAAAAAAGGGATAATTTACACAACTCATGTGATGTCAAATGAAATGAGTAAATACAAAGGGACATTGGTATGACATTAAAATAAATGCACAAAAGAAAGCCACAAATGCAGCACACATGGCAAAAAGAAAATGCATTGAAATATTAAAATGAACAACAAAAAATCAACAATGATAAAGTGTAAACATGTGATATCACTCATACATGTGACTCCAATGACAAGTGATGAAAGTGAAAAATGAAATGTCGTGTCAGATTCATAAGTCACGACAACACAACCTGTTCAAACAGGCAGCAACCAGCATGACAAAATGAATTCAGAGTAGACATCTGACATGACTGTGCAGCTACATATGTGTGTCTTCTGGTTTTCTGTGTTGCATACCTCCCGACAAGTTTAAACCAGTGGAAACGGTCGTAGAAGGGGTCGTTTCCTGTCAGAGAGCCTTCGCCATCCTCCTGGTGAGTGGAGGCCATTTCTCCGGCGCGGTCATACATCTCCCTCATCTGGTCCAGCCGCTGCCTGCAAATGACGACGGAGTGCGCTCGATATTAATGGAGGCGGGATGAGAATGTACAGCTCACTTTACAGCTGGAGGGAAGAGAAGCTGCTAGATGTAGAGATATCTGTCCTCATAAATCTTTGTGTTTGGGTTGTGAGATTTTTCTGGTACCGAAGCCGTGAGAAATGATCTGACAGCAAGCAGAGTGAAGAAAGACATCTTTGAGAAGATCATTGACGATACGTTGAACTGGTGTGGTTACATATTTGAAGTCCCCTTTCAAAAAAAAAAAAAAAAAGTGCTTTGGAAATATTACTTCTCTTGCATGTTTGACCTTCACTGTGCAGAAGGATGTATGTTTAGAGTTTGTCACTGGAAGTCCTTTTTCATATTTATTAGTTTAACGTAAAATCTAGGCTTCAGGTGTTTATTAGTTTTGAGACACTTGAGGACTGCATTGCACAAGTAGAGATGTACCTAGAGACACTGTGAATCTAGCAGTTAAACTTTTAAAATGCAAACTGTCTGCAGATCCACAGAAGGGAGAAGTTGTGCTTTAAGAATTTCTAAACAGGTAATTTAACACTGTAATGGAAAAACCTTGTCAAACTCAAATTCGTATTCAAAGTAGATCATCTTCAAATACATATACATGCTCAAACTAAACCCAGGTCTAGTTTAAGCAGGTGTGGTTAGAAGCATACTTGAGTTTTTCAAGGGACCAGTAGTGCGTGGCTCCATTCTTCAGATCTTGAACCTCTACGGCCACCACGGTGCGAGGGAAAGGTCTGGGGTCACGCTCTTTCTCTGGCTCTGGCGACAGGAGCTCAGGGGGCAACGGAGAGTACAGCGTGTCTGTCAGCAAGACGAACTGGAACTGGACCTGAGGAAAAGGAAAGGCAGATGGAAAAGTAAGAATAAGTTAAAGTAGAATGAAAACATCAGTATGGTAAGGTTGATATACTGAGGTAGCGAAGCACCCTCCATTTTGTGGCCTTTCTCTTCCTCTGAGGGCAAAATGTTAAACCAATTAACAACTCTGGATATAAATTACAGAGAGACAGAAGCCTCAAGGAAAAAAAGAAGGAAAAAAAAAAGTCTGAAAATGTCATGTGACAGTTGGCCCATCTCCGGTATCAATCAAGTAGCGCCTAGAAGGTGACAAGAACATAAATCACGCCAGTCTTCCGGTGGGGAAGGTAAACCGTAGAAGACCAGCATTTGATTTGTAACAAATTCAATTCCTCTGAGTGACAATGAATCACTGCTGTGCTCTGGCAGAGTTAGAAAGACTACCATGTGCATTATGTCAAACATACAGTCCAAACCAAATGTCAAGTATAATTCTTCAATTTTTTCCTCAACTGTTTGAAGTCTAAATGTGAGAAGCTTTGTGTAGATATAAAACAAACCATATGGGGGATGTAGTTGGTACTCAAAGTTTAAGGGTTTACTGGTATTTGACATGAAGTCTAAAAAAAAAATCAGAATGTATAGTACTGTGTGGAAAATCTATACAGTTAAGGACTGCCTGAAGTCTCTGAGCCATAAACATCACCAGACGCTGTGAATTTCCCCTCGTGATGCTCTTCCAGGCCTGAGGACATCATCATGTGGGTCTGGGTTTAGAAATCTGGTCAGCTGAATTAATGTATGTGCGTCCTTTTACGTCACAGTCAAACATCTGAGGACGTGATGGGTTACTGCTATGAGGGTGAGTCACTTCTATGCGGCTGCCAGTAAACTGTGCACCCTAAGGAGAGCGGAGGGAAGGGGCTACCAGACTCTAGACTACACAGCCCCTAGTTTGAAATGACTGAAGGATAGTGAATTGCATGAACAAAAACAGTCTTTGTATGCATTCTGCATAGTCTTGCTATTTAGTATCTTAAAACAGCCACATATGGGAAGTTGTGCCGTTTGAACAGGATGAACACTATTGGAAATCTGTATTACAATTACAAGATTCACCAGAGCCACAAAAACTGTAAAAACTGAAAAAAATGTCGGGTTTCCATCTGGGTCCTTCTGGTAATCATCAAAAACCACTTAAAAAAATGTGCCTGTCTAACCTGTGTTAGACCTGTCAGTAAAGCAAGTTCATATTCTTCTGTTTTTGGGATGTGAATTACATTTTTAAACATTAAACTAAGACAACTGAAAGACCATTTCACTCACTTTCTTCTTCAGCTCCACGCTAATCGCATTAGCCTCTTTCAGGTACACCGCGTTCCCCCACAGCTGGTCACGCAGGGAGGTGAACTGATGGTACCTCCACTTCCTGAACGCCCACTGAGCCAGCTCAAACTCGTGCTGAGTCCACGGCACTGTGTGGAGACGGGAGGCAAGATTAACACATAGTATACATTAAAATACACTCACAGTATACAGTTATACCCAGAAGGACCATACCAGCGGTTTTAATTGTTTAAGCCCAAGCACAGCTCTGTTCTACTTAAATGCCTGAATTTCTCCATAATTCATGACATGAAAGATCTTGTCACCTTTATTCTAAGTCGCGCAAGCAGTGAATGTACTGAGAGCTATTTCTTTGAGAGGTGTTCAGGGACATTCAGTACCAGATTTTACAGACTCAGTTGCATGAAAATTAACAAACACTGCTTCTGGAAATGAGAACATGTGAGTCTGGTGTGTACCAAGGTTTAGCCTTGTCACCAAATTTGTGTCAGCTACTGATTAATCAAATAAACAATCTTATTTTGACTAAACGTAATGCTACCTGGATGGATGAGGAGACTCTAAATTTAAAATTAAGTGTAAGGTAATTGTGAGTAATGATGGTGGTGGATTACCCACCTTCCATCTGTACCAAATATGATAGAAACCAGTGCTGCACATCAATTAACATAAACTGCAGCACCTGTTTGTAGGCAATTTGTGGCTAAATCATTAAAAAAAAACTCCAAGTACGGTCCCTCAGACATCAAGTAAAATGTTACAAAGCGTTAGTAGCATGGTTTATTTAAAAGAAATTAGAGGATATACAATGTATTTACGAGTTTAATACCTTCAATGGGTAATTAGTATGGAGCTATTAATTAATCTTAATCAGAATGACGGTGATATTATATATATATGGGAATAATATACGCACATCCAAGAAGTTTAGGCTCTGGACACAAAATGTGGAAGAAAACACACAGTTCATTCATATATATATTTACATACACTATACAGCATATGTGGGGCTCATATATAGTATGTGCCGTAAAAGGAAAAAAAAATCTCCCAGACTTAAAAGCTTTCGTACACACCTTCCTCTTCTTCTTCCTCCTCCAACTCTTCTTCATCAGGTGTTTCGGCTACCAGAGAACGAGTCTCCACCTGTTTCTGAAGTTCCTGCAATTTGCTCTCGTAAACCTGGACACCAACACACAGAGGGGAGGACAGAGAACATGGACGAGTGTCCATCAGCCGCAACAACAGGTGAGCTCAGCAAGCCCTTAGAAACGCATTTCACATTTCAAACTAAAACCGTGGCTCGTGTCAGGATCGCTACGCTACCTGAGTTTTATTTCTGAAATCTAGCAATAAAGACTTTTAGTCACTTGTTGGATATGTAGATAGTGTTATGCATAATGTAAAAGAGAATTTTACAGTTTCAGTGGCGTGATAGCAGATATTAGTGCATTTTTATATTATGGATGCACTGTGCATAAAATATTAAAGTGCAAGTTATGGATTACTTTGCTCGAATAAAACATTTTCCAGAATCAATAATTGCATATCTACTGTGCACAATAAAATATCAGACATAATCCAGAACTAAAAAGCCATAAATAATTAAAGAGCTTGGTTTTAAACTAAAAATCGAGCTCTCACTTTTTCCTCTGTGCAACCAGCATAAATAGTTCTGGAAACAAAACCTTATGAAACAATGAAAAACTATCTATTGAGAGAAATGGCTGGAGTGGAAGAAGAGAGGCGCTGAGTCAACTGTAATCCAATGAGGGGCGCCATCATCATCAGAGCGGGACAGGCTGTGGTCCCGATGACCTCATCCTGTTTGTTCTCAGTCTTCTGGGAAGACAATGCAGCCTTTTAATTTGTCATTGACCTCCTCCCTGCTGAAACCCGACCAACAAGCTGACGGCTTAATTCCTCCGATCAAAAAAAAAATTCACGTCTTACTCAAAGTATACTTGTAAGTTTGACATGAACACATGTACCATATAAACACAGTGTGTATCATGATGTAAGCTGAAGCCATTTTACATGGCTCGTTTGAGAATATCTAAATTCTCAAATAAGTTGATGATGGCAAGAATTAAATGAAAAACTGTGACATAACTTTCATCCCCATCCTAAGTTACAAACATATGTGCAACACTGCCAGAATGTAGTATTAAATAATTACAGTGAAAGGAAATAGGGAAGAATAAACCTTTTTTGAATCTTCTAGTGGCGGATTCTGTCGATAATAGTCAAATTAATTGTAAACATTTAAAGTATCTCTGACCTAACCACATTCTATAGTGTCTCACATGATCACTCCTGTACTGTGCATACATGCAGGGATCTGACTATACTAGTTTATAGGCAATAAAAAACAAACACAACCCACTTATAAAGAATAACTGCACATGGAGCGCGTCATTTTATTTCAGTCATACTTTGAAAACAAACCTCCAGCAACACATAGATGCGATATATCCTTTTTTTTTTTTCTCAAACCTGTGGACAATACTGTTCCAATAGGTACTGTATGTTTGCACAAAGCGCTTGATTAAGGAGCAACACAACTTTGTACACAGCCACAATGAGGCACTTGATATTTTGTAAAATCCAAACACTCAACAGACACTCAGAATTGAGACCTATCATAGAGATATATGCGTATTTCTTAAGAACAGTACACTGTACACAGTTAATTTGATGTTGTATACTTTCCAGCTTACCTGGTCGCCATCAGCACCGGAGCATACGTTAAATAACATTCTTTAATGGAGCATTTAATAGGGCTGAAGAAATACGAGGCGCAGGTTGGCTGCATATGTCACATCATTTGGTTTTTTTGTTACAGCATAGTAAGGCAGAATATATAGTGTCAAAACTTATAGCATAAAACAGAAAATGATTTCATCATTCCAAAACCAGGGATAACATCTTGATAGTCCCTTGCTGCTGAGTGTCACCATATCTCTGAAATGATTTGAAGGCCATCTGGCATCGAATTCTAATAATCAATGAGTTCTTTTAAAGCTACGAAGGCAGCGAAAAAAGACAGATTGACGCACAGACTTGCTGCTAATCCAAATAAGCATCAGCTAAAGCACAGAGGCGAAAACACAGACATGGACAACTGATTTCATAGATCACTACTCTGATATGTCTCTCATCCGGGACGCATGATTATATGGTTTTTGATGCGGCTAAAACAAGGCAGTCCTCAAAATCTCATTTGATAAGGATATTTCTCATGAATAGCATTATGCAAACATTTCAAGTCTTTGTCCTTCTTCCAACATTTTTTAAGGCCAGTCTTTGGGAACCATGACAACACTCGGTAGGGTAGCCGTTGGAAACACAGTGAACTCTGTGCTTACTCAGTGAACCACAAACCTAAAATGTAACTTTTAAGACTGGACGAAACAGAAATCAGAGCTCAGTTCATACCGTGTGGCTCATACAGAAAGAAAAATGGGGAAGTATTCTGAACAGTCTGGCCTGGTGACAGGGAAACTTTCGAACAGATACAGTTTTCTTTAAGTTATAAGCTCGATCCATTTCTTAGCATTCATACATAGTGGTTCTTCAGTTTATAGGATCTTCATTGAGCTCCAGGATCCAGACAGAACATACTATCAATTAAAATATTTATATTTTAGGGGGATTTTAGAATATACATTTTTAGAATTAGAGTAACTTGTTTAACATTGAAATTAGTGTATTAACTAACTAATTATACAGCTTATCCATCACTTGAGGAAGTGCAAAATACTGTAATACAAGTGGGTGGCAGTTACATATTTGAAAATCATTAAAAAAAAAAAAAGAGTAAGAAAGAAAAACAAGAAAAAAGTTTGGGCTTAAGCAGTTAAGTGGCTTACTAAGGATTTGAATGTTATTACTAAAAAGTTAGTTTTGGTTAGATAAGTTATGAAGTTTTACTTCATCTGAAACGATATGCAAGAGCATTGAATTAAAAGGAAGGGAGAGAAAATACTGAATTGCAAATGCATAGCAGTAATAATACAGTTTAGTGCATTAAAGGCACTTTTTTGAATACCAGTTTCTTTAAACGCTATTTCAGTCTCTGTTTAAAAAGGCACACAACTGACTCGTCAGTCATCAAGTTATTCCATCATAACTTTTAAAATGGTCTTAAGATTCCAGATCTCGGCCAATGATGCTTAAAAACAGAAAATGTTTTATGAGGTACAACACAAAATGTAATATTGCAAAGAGAACTTTTACTCCCATCCTAACATTCAGTTTAACGTTACGTAGAAAGAAATAAATATAGGGTGTCCACCGTTCCTAATTTGGACTACAACAGCAACAACAAAAGTCTTGATGAAAATTAGACACTTCAAAGTGTTCATACTATAGTGGCTAAAAACATTCATCATTAATCAATACTAAAATGGCAAAAATGTAAACTCAGAAATTCAACCGTGAAAAGAATTTTGGCAAATCAAAGCATGATTCATGAATTGTCATAAATGCTGATAAATGAACAGAGTAGGCATGGCATGTCTCTTGTGAAAAAATAGTCCCCTTATATGTTGGCTTCATATCCTTATGACAGCTCTCCCAGTGCTAGTGATAACAATGCACACGATGCAGCAAAAACTGATAAAAATGGCATATATTATGATGATGATGATGATAAAATGTCTTTTTTTTTTTTTATAATACATACAATACTTGGATCAACCAGTAACACACTGATCAAGTGCAAAAGTCACAGTCAGTTTTGTCAGAGCTGTTGTGATCTGTAATGTGTTTGCCTACTAAAAGTGTATCAAATTAGTTCCTCGTTCCCAAAGTCACTCTCAGACTGTCGTCTCTCGGCTGGCTTTTAGATTAGGAGCAGACATTTGCCTGCGCATTCGTGGAGGAGCCTGAAAGTTGATCGGATGGCTAGCGTGGTCAGTGTGATGGTACTGCTGGTAGCCATTGAAGCTACCATCTGGGTACATCATGCTATTGTAGTGGCAGGGCTGTTGTTGATGGTAAGGCTGGGGATGTGCTGGCTGGTTCTGATGGTGGCGGGGCTGGTAGAAGGCCTGTGTATGCCTCCTGTTGTTTTCAGACTGCTGCAGTGACTCCATGGAGCCAGAGGGCCGCTGGCGGTGATTAAAAGAGTTGCTGCGGCCTCGTTCATGGGGCTGCTGGTGCTGGTTGTTCCTATAGTTATGTCTCTGACCCTGGCTAAAACCTTGCTCAAAGTCTTTACTTCTGCGCTGAACCGATGGGCTTGGCAATGGAGGAGTGACGTGGACAACTGCAGCAGCAATATTGTCTCTAGATTGTTCTCCTTCTCCAGCCAGGCTCTCTCCCTCCTCTTCCTCTACAGCTTCTTTGGGCACCTTTAGCTCTATGACCTGCTCATCTGTAATTATGATATGAGTACCGGGGCTCCATGAGTTGCGGTGCTTGGGGTTACTTTTGAAGGGGAAGCGTAGCTTACGGTCTTCCGGGGGTATAAAGCGATGTGGTCCGGTGTGCCGGCGGAGCTGCTTGGAGATCTCTTGCTGCTGAAGATTCTTGAGGCGCATCTGTTCTTGACGCATCCAGCGCATGTGGCCTCGCTTTAGGGTTGAGTCATCTCCTGTACTTTGGCCTGTTAGTGAATCTAAATCCTCCGCATCAGGCTTTTCAGGCTTTTCAGGCTTTTCAGGCACAGGAGGTTTTCCTTCCCGAGGGCTTGGAGTTCTGGCTGCACAAGTGGATGCCGCTGAGCTAGGAGGCTTTTCTTGGCCCTCTGGGGTGATGAGTGGAAGGACCTTCTCCATTTTGACCATCTTGCTCCGGAGAGCACGGATCTCTTCATCCTTCATGTTATTTTGTTTCTTCACCTCCTGCAGGATGTCCTCAAGTTTATCGATGTGCACTTTTAGCTCATCCATAACAACCCCTCCTGTTCGAGTGCCATTAGTTATGACATCCTCGATGCGCTCATCACCAACTCCGACAGTGTCCCAAACATCCCGAGCCACTGCCCTCCACGAGTCCCGCTCGTTGGGGTCCTTCTTGCTGTAGCTAGCACAGAGCTCCTTCATCTTTACAATAGCCAATGCCTCAATTTCCTGCCGCGTGTGGCGGAAATCATTGAGCGCTACTTCGTAACAGATTTCTTTGACTGCCTGGATCTTCAGGTCTGAGATGGTCACCCACTTGGAGTCCTTGGTGATGCGGCGTCGCTGAGGGATCTGGTACATTTTAACTGGCTCTCTTCTTTTCCCACTGCTGGGTAATCCACACTTTTTCACTATGGTTTGCAGCTTGCTGGGAGGTAGCTTTTCCCTCAGGGAAGTGATCAGTCTCCAGCTCTCCTCACAAGACCTCTTATCTGAGTCATCACCACTATCAGAGTCTCCATCCTTGAGAAAACAACACAGGACACAAACGAAATGGTTCCCAAAAAAAGGAGAAATTACAATGGGAAATCAGGAGGAAGATGAAAGGATGGCTTTAAAATAAAAGAATGAATAAATGTATAAATATGCAACATGGGAACTTCAATTATGAGTTAAGTCAAAGTTGAATAGGAATATGGTGGTCTGTCTTTAGCTTTGACAGAACTTTGATATTCAAAATTTTGAGATTTAGGATTTTTACCAAATAATAATAATTATTATTACACTGCAATAATACTATCTAAACATCTTGCATACATCATTACTATACAAGATGTATGGCAACATGCAGCATAATTTTCCAGAATTATACTGAAAATAAAGATAGAATACCAAACAAATGAACACACAAAAAACAGTGGCTTCCATTGACTTTCTTGTCAGTTTTTCTTTCTCTTATTTCTCCAGTGAAAATGATAATATGGATATGAATTTATGTTCTTTAAAATGGTCACTAAAAATCAGGTCTTTTACATCTCATATTTTTGGAAAAACTGTTCCCAATGTTGCATATTGGTATTAAAAGTAAAGGTAAAGCATGTCTATCATGATTAGAAAGGAAATATCAATAGATGATAGTTGCTGATTGGAGCACTTCTGAATTATTTTGTGATATTCCTCTTCTTAATTGAAAATTGTGTGATTTGAAAAGCTGGATCCCAAACATGCTACAGTGGCATGCATGCAGCAGATGGATTTTGGAGCTTTCCCCTTTTAGTCCAGAAGGTTTGAGTGGCTTTAGTACTAGCGGTGAGTTAGAAGACAGAGTGTTCTTGCAGTTGATCAGAAAGCCAGTAGAGAGAGGAGAGGCAGAAGTGAGGATAAGTGTTAATCCACTACAAGAAAGTTGTTAGTCGGGAAAAAAAAATGCAGTTTCTCATTTTTCGTAGACAAGGTACATTACAGATCACAACCAGTAGGTACAGATAATTCAGGTCTTGTGTGTGAGACTGTATCTATGCCTAGAATTGGACATGTTATGTCCCTGAGAGTCTGAAACCTGTGCCGGTAAGTTCTGCACATAAAACCACAAGAGTCTGTTAGAGGTCTGTGATTCACTGATTCAACTGTGAGCAGTGATAACTCTGTTGTTGAGCCGTGCCCTCAGTGAGCTACAGAGATGCCAGGTAAGGCTGGCAAAGATGGGTAGCCAAAGAAGTCAATGAGAAACCACATTGTCACTATCTGTCGAAAACTACAGCAGGATTTTTTTGTTATCACAATGCATTGTACATGTCAGCAACTGCATTGAAAAGATGAAACTCAGGACAAAACAGAGCAAGAAAACTAGAGTAGAAATCTAATCCAAGCAAATCAACAGCCACTTCAGAGTTGACCAGCTCGACAGCAAACACTGCAACTTAGTCCAGAACCAGTACTGAATGAGTTAAGAAAACATGCTATTAACATGAACCATGCAAAAGCAGCGTCACTTTATAGGAACGTGGGCATGTGTTTCAATGCTGATATTCAGTTTTTAAAGGAATTTTTATCTTAATATCAAATTAATTTTAACTGTAAGTTGCTGTTTTGCAAGATTCAGATCCACTATAGAAGACACAAGAAAAAAAGGAAACAGGGATTTGGAAAGGGGAAAGCTTTACAATCTAATTCTCACTCAATCAAATTGCTACAGAAAAATCAGTTAAACTCAAGAAGAAGGCAAGTAAAAGCTCATCTGTCTCAAACCAGAAAAAACTTCCATGCAAGAAGAACAGACATGCGCTAAGAGTAAAAGTGTGGTTCACACACACGCACACGCACACACATCTCAAAAGTGTCAGAACTCTGAGAGAGAATTAGTACTAGTCAGATTTAAATGGACCAAGTGAAACTATCATCCAAAAAACAAGCTTCTGATTGTATTTGGCCATAAGACACCATGCTTTAGCTTTGAATTCCACTTACAGATATCCTGAAGTACATAACACTCAAAATCACACACAGAATATCACAAACTAACTGGATCACTCAAGAAGCTGCTTCTAATTAACTTGCAAAAAGAAAAATCGAATTTTAGCTTTACTTCTATAAAACCCACTCCGCACTTATTTGACTCAAACTTCTAAAATGATGACGACAGAAAACACACTGATTCCTTTCAAGTGGGTTTGATCAGATTTCAGCTTATCTGAACTCACCAGCCGCTGTTGTTCCAGAAGCTGATCTGCCTCTTCCTTCTCTTTTTTGTACAAGATTTCCATCTCAGTGAGTCTGCACAAATGAGTAAAATAGATTGTGAAACATATCAAACAATTAACAATATACTACAGAATCAGTGTTTGAAACCACACACTACTTATCGCTATTAGAAATTCATTTAAATCATGCAAATACGATGGATTTCATACCTTTTCTCCATTTCCTGCTTCATGTCAATGCCCTGTTTTTCCAGGAGCTCTCTCTGTGCAAACGTCCAATCCACCGGCTCCACAGGGGTTTCGGCGGATGGCGTCTTCTCTCTTTCAGCTCTGGCCTGCTCTGGGTGGTTGAACCGGAACACATGGTTCTTTCCCATAATAATACGGTTGCCTAAAACGGGTTAGCACACATGTGTGGCAAGAAAAAGCATGGAAGGCATCACATTAGCAAAGATGTTTCTTTTCAGTGCTGCAAGAAATGTGTAAATGTAAGAGTTCCAACTTTTTAATCATGTTGTCTACTGGAGACCCCATTATATAAATGAACTAGTACAGAGGTAACCCACATGTATACAGTTTACTCACAACTTTGCACACATAAATGAGATACGCACCTGAACGAAGCTGGATTGCATCCTCAACACGCTTGCCGTTGACGTAGGTTTCTGATCCCTCGCAGGGCACCAGCATCACAATGACTTCAGCAAAAGCAAACAATCAACATTGAGTCACTCGGAAAAAGCTCATCGTTGTTCACATTTAAATGAAAAAAGGACAAATATCTCAGCCGCTGTACGTATATAGTGGCCTAATGTTTCCATTAGCACCAGAAAATTAATTTTGAGTCTATATTTATGCATTGGTGTCATTGATTGACAAAACCTGGGGTTGCTTATGCATGTATTTAGGGAGAAACGGTATCAGTGTTTGGATTAGACTAGAAAAAACATTTACATTCTTGCCATCAACTCTGCTTAATTCCAAGAAATTCTGAAAATCAATACATATCCCTACACACACCAAACATAAGCAAACAAACTCCTAATACTATGTCTCACCATCTCCGTTGGCATTCCTTTCGCTGCGGAAGATGCAGTGTTCTTCTTTGATATGAGCACCACTTAAAACAATGTCCTGTCTTCTCTCAGCATCGGCCTGACCCACCCTGAAACGATCATAGAGGACATTTTGAGAGGCTGCTCAGTGCTTTCTCATTGCATTGTCAGCCATTTCGGTAAAAAGTCAGAGAGAGTTAAATGGAAGCTTTAAACTACTACTTGGGAGAAGGCCGCACTAAAGCACTATAGGTGCCTTCATCTTTCATCACTTATTCTCCCCCTAGGGTGCAAATGTAACAAAATACTCAAGAGGAATAGTCTATACAGAGGACCAAAAGGACAAAGAGGGGAGGAAAGTAACTTTAGACTGGAAAAATTTTTGTGATGTGGCAGATTTCAAGCCTTTGACTCTGAAAGTTACTTTTGCCTTACATAAAAGGAGGAAAATGAAATACAGTAGTTCTTCAGAGGTCCTGTAAAGTAGAAATGCAAAACCTTTCACACTTTCAGCAGCATTTCAGTGTCATCATTCAAATTTTGGTTACCTTGTAATTCCGTCTTTGATGTAATAGAGCAGACACTCTGACATGAGAGGATCCTCATTCAGGTTCACCAAGTGTGGAGTCTACAAAAGAACACAAGAGATAGACAGTTTACCACAAAAACATGTATGCAATTTCACTACTTTTATCAATAATCAGCAGTACAGAAATTATACCAATACAAGGAATGCCAGTCAATGGGGCTTATTTTCACATCAAACGTTACTGCTTCCCTTTGATTTGGAAAATACAGTAAACAAATATAGACAGAAAAGATCACAGTCACACCGTCCTGACACCTCTACAGTCTGATACATGACAGAACTACTACAAAGGATCCTAAAAGCTACGTCTCCAAACCACCAACCTTTTTTGGGGAAAACACCCCGTTAAAGTCTGTATAGAGATCACAAGGCTTCTCAATGAAATGCTAAACCGTGGAGAGCAAGTGAGTGAAAGGAGAAAACAAAAATTAATGGATGACAAGTGGATGTGAACAAGAAAAAAGAAACACAACAATTAGCAGAAGAAGAGGGGAGGAGGGGTTAAAGCATGTCTAAAGACAGGAATAATTTCAGTGAAGAGAATTTTCTACAAACCAATGCTCATACAGTCACAGCTGGCTCTGAACAGCCAGTGATTAAAAGTTAACAAACCTCATTCTCTGCCACAGTCGTGACTTTGCTGACAAGCACATTCTACCATTTTATTGGTATTTATGTTGCAGTCCCACAGTTCTGCTTTTAATTGCTGGAGAAGTAAAGATAGGGAAGGGAATGTACCACTGCCTTTAATTTAATAAGCCTCATGATAGCACTAAGAGATCTACTCAGCTATAGCAAAGGCTTTAATAATCTACTCAAAGCAAAGTATTATATTCAAACAAAACCTTGGTGTAAGTGGTCTAACTTCATTGGAGTTTAAATACAAATTCACTTGTCAAATCTGAATACTAGCCCATCATGTTAAAGCTGATCTCATGTTACACTGTCAGTCAAACATGGAGAGGAAAAGGGAACTAAAGATGTTCCAGAACCACAAAAGGTGTGGGTCTGGACCATGCAAATAGACATACCTTTGATATTAAATCACTACTTAAGATTTAACTAGAGTGTCAGATATGGGGCTACTTCTAGTGCAGGAAAGGTGTCTTGTCTTCTTATTTCATTAAACAAACCTTCTTGGTGGGAAAACAATCAAACTGCTCATCAAATGTCCTGTCATGGCTAAGCTGAGTGTGTGAAGGAAGCAAATAACAAAGAGTGGAAAGACAGAGAATGATAAAGTGAGCAGTGAGAAAAACCAGAACAGGGAGGATTCCCATGGAAAAAGACAACATGGAAAATAGAAGTTATGAAGTGACTGAGGAAGGGTGTGCAGCACCACCCATGGGAAACTTGACACACTCGTGTGACATAAGAGGAGCGTGTCTCATCCTATAACCAGCCGGTTTTCCTACCTTTTTAGGAGAGAATACACCCAAAGTGCCTCCATCTTCACGGATGGCCACACCCATCTCTGCAAGCAAAGCCTCCCTGTAATGAAGACAAAAGAGTAAACTGATTAAATATCATTTATACTGAACTATTTTGTTAAACAGCATGGTATTTGTAATTTCTTGCCAAGACTTTCTGCAACAGATACTGGAACTTTCCACATTTATTTTCACTTTGTGCTGATAAACAGCAGAGGTTGACAACTGATGCTGGGTGACATTAGAGCAAGTCATTTGTGGTGTGACAACAGGCAGAGAATGGCATCAGCGAAACTCAGTGGACAGACGGTAAAATGGTTGGTGTCTGCAGCCACAGATGAGTGGATAAAGGGGGATTGGGGAGTTTGTGCAGCAGAGTGTGACGACAAAGAAGAGGAGGGAAACAGACAGAATTGGTGCAGAGGAAATGAGACAGAAAGGTGAGGAAAGTGAGACAGACAGCACAGAGGGGTTACAAGACAGAGACAGCGCTACAAGGGTTGTCTGCGGGCTGTGTTATGGTCTCTAAGAACTAGTGCTTAGGATTTACTGTGATCCAGTATTGAAAGTCAATGTTATCTTGAACAGCCACACTGGAAGGCAGACAGAAAACATGGCTGTCATCATTTAAAAATGGGGATAACAGCGATATTTTCAGACAATCTCTCAAGGGAGACACTGATAGTGCATTTAGCTGCACACATGAAATGAGTTACAAGTAGCTTAGAAGCAAAAGAGAGCTTGAATAAGAGGGACAATGCTTGACACATAGACACAGCTGGCCAATCACAGTGTGAAGTGGGTGTAAATGTTGGATCATTGGCTTTGGAAAGTTACAAATAATGGGCGATGTAGACATCAGAGAGTTGTAGGAAGAGTTTTTCGCTGCTATCAGACCATCTGACATGCAGCTGAAATAGACCATAAATCCCACAATAAGACGGACAGGATATAATGAGGAAGGGGTAGATGCACACGTACTACACTTATCTCCCCCGTTGGGAGTTACAGATGGAAATGAGCAGACTTTGTCTGCCAACACTGACCTTTCCATGCGGATTGCTTCAGTCTTTCGCAGTTTCTCTTCCCAGGTTTCATTGAGTTCTGCGATGATCTTTTCTGATTCCTGAACACAAGCAGCAAAGTGTGAGAAAAACACAACCAGTGTAATGTAACTGGAACCATCAGCAATGTATTAAAGGCAATACGTTTACTTGAGGAACAACAAGCCCACCCAGGCTGGTTTTCTTGAGATGTGGTTTGTTATACCAGTGACAAACCTGTTTTCCTGGTTTAGCTGATTTTTTCTTTTTTTTCCCTTTAGTTTATTTATTTTTTTTTACAAAATAAACATTTGGGGTCAGAACTCAAATCTCAATAAACAGGGCCAGTGGTAACATACTGCTATGTATTTATTATACAACAACACTGAGCTCTAATAAGCATATCGTAACAACACAGTCACTACGTCTTCTTTATCATTTTAAAAATAATTATTTACACATTTATCATTCTGGATACTGATATTGATTAGTTCCTGTGAATGTCTTTTTTAAGCAGTGTACAGTCATTTTAGTTGAACATGATAATAAACCTGTAATAGTAACCTTCACTGTTTGCTCCTGGATCACCAAAACAGCTGAAACGCATTTAGAATGTAAATATATTTTGCCTCACTATTAAAGCCAAGAGCCCATAAGACTGAATCTATTTTGGTCCAATTTCCTCCGTGTTTGCGTGGTGCTTGACGTCATTGGATGACAGACAGACTGGGCACCATGGTTGCCATGGAAACTGCAGTTCCTCATGGCTGGTTGTTGCCATCCAATGTGCTACCTTTTCTACAGCGTGAGGGAGCCCACTGCGAGTGGGAGAGATATAAAACTGAGAGGCCACATGAGGACTGATGGGCAAAACAGGTTTTATTAAAGGCTGTGTGTGGGCTAAAATTAAACAACAGCCATCTTGACATGAAATGAATTTGAGGATGGAGTAAATTCTCTGACTTTTAATTAGTTTGCCAATCTAATCAGATATTTAAGCATAACTAAAACATGCTAAACTTACTTAGAAATCAAAACACTACAGCCTGTGTATTTTTTTATGCTGTTTAAATCAAACGCTGTGACAATAACTGATATATTCAGACTACAACAATGAGAGTAAGACTATATTATTACCAACATGTACAAGACAAAACAATTCCCATTATACTCCACGCTTGTGGTAAATACACATTTATCACCATAAAAGGGGAAAAAATATGTTAGATACATATTAAGAGGCAGTGAAGTATATATAAAATGCACACGCACATATATATTATATATATAAAAATATATTAAGAACTTGCTATGAAACATGTTTTGGTAATTTTAGCATGTTTTAGTGGCGTCTATGGATTTTTTCCTCTTAAATCAGCCTGACATTCTGGAAATTTCCTTTCAGCAAACACCTTTCATTAAGATTTACAAGCCAGCCTGTTGCCCCACTTGGCACCACACAGATCCTCATTTAGCTCGACTGAAAGCATGGCTGAACAGCAAAAAGAAACAAATTAAGAGCTCTATCTTTCATATCTATAGTGAATAAGAAAAAACAAAAAAAAACTTAAAATCGAGACTGAAGTGGATAGAGCTGGGGTTTTTTTTTTTTTCTTTTGGCAGATAGCTGTGGGGCCCTTCTTCCCTCTTAACTAGAGACATATGTGTGATCTGGAGACTGCTTCATTCCACACTTTCTACTTTACCTTGAGTCTTTCAATGGCCTCCTCTCCTCCAGGTGTGGACATGATGCGCTCTTGGATGCTGGTGACTGACTGCAGGCCTCCCTGGCTGCTTAGTGAGCCAGAGGATGGAGAGGCTGTCAGGGAACCAATAGGGGCTGTGGAGAAATGGCCAGGGCGTTGGTTCTCTGAGGCTATCAAGTATCTATGCTTATTGTTCTGAATGTCTTTGAGGTCTGAGCCAGCAACAAGAGAGAGAGAGAGATAGAGAACACAGAAAGAAGTAGGGTAGACCCAGGATAGGATAGAGAGAATAAACCACATAAAATGGAGGAACCAAATATCAAATAAGAAGAAAGAGAGAAGAGAGAGAAAGAGATGGGGAAAGAGAAAGGACAAAGGGGGGAAAGACCAATGTAAGACACACGTTGTACGTCAGAGGGTAAAGACAAACACCCAGCATGATGGTCAGCTACGGAGAGCAGCAGTTTTCACTCCAGGTAGTTTTCAACAGTCTGATTACTCCAACTCTTCTAGAAAAAATGCATTGGAGTTCAGCCTTTATTCTGTTTAAAAGGTTTCAGGCTGTTTTAATGTAGGTCAGAATATTAGCGTGGTACAAATAACTCTGAGCTCTTAATTTCCAGTGTGTACAAGGTTCAGGAGTGGGGAGATGCAAACTTCAACTCAGACATGAATGACAACACACTGTGTGAAAACTGCTATCAGTGTATCAACTACAGGATGGGAGCAAGATGGAAACTGCAAGAACGTCCAGCAGAAGGACAGACGAGAGTCATTGACACATGCGGTAAAAGTTCAGCCCGCAGTTGAGTAGATTGATTCACTGCACACACACACACACACACACACACACACGTGCACTCACGCAGCCACCATTACAAAGCCACAGCAGCCTCACGCAAAGGTCAGGCGGCTAATGTCAATATAATGGCATCAAGTGTCTCTTAAAAAGACATGTGCTTTTTTAAATCCAAAAAAATAGGTCTGATAAGTGTTGAGCTGTTCCACTGAGGTAGAACATAGCGCAGGATCAAATGTATACTTTGATCTGACTCAACATCTATTATTGTTCAGAAAAACTTTCCAGATAAAGAGTATTTTACTGGAATATTAGCAATAAAGGGACGGAGGGAAGAAGTGTTAACAGCAGAGGGAATACTACCAAACTAACTACTCAATACAAACTATTAAAGCACATAAAGTTAGTCAACTCTGTATACAAACACCTCTGGTGCGGCTATTTAGAAATGTAAAGTTATGCACCTTTTCGTCTGTAGCTCTGAGCCTCAGCTTGAGAACTCAGAAGTGCCATTCTAAAGCTTTGAGCACTGTCACCTGCAGTGGATGATTAGTGAAAGAAAACAATAAAAAGAAGAAAGGTCCACTGGCAAGAAAAGGACGCTTAAGAAAGTGAGTCAAAGAAAGTGAGACATGGTTATAAAATGATGGGAGTTGTTTTGGGGTGGGGAAAACTGACGCGCTATTCTAAAAGCTATGTTTCTAAAAGGGAAATTACAAAAGTGACTATAATACAGTTGGATCTAAGCCTCTAAATAGCCGCCTCACGCCCATCATTCTGAAAAATAACAGAAAAACAAGCGCAGAGCATGCTAACCTAGAGGCATGCTAGCTCTTGCCAGATCAGCACACCTATAGAAGCCTTGCATTTTAGAGTCTCTTTCTATTAAGCTTTTGCTATTTTAAGCAATTACATGCAAAGCTGCTAGCAGATTTAAAATACAGGTAATGGGGGTTGTAAGCAATGTTAGCTATTTCATAAGGGCAAATCGTGATATGCAATGCATGACTACCACACATATACACACATTTGATTCCACTTCCTGGGCAATCATCCCCCATAGGATCAACTGAGGGGAAGCAGGAAAAGATGAGAAGGGTCAGAGGTCAGCACCAGCAGAATGGGAGGAAAAGGTTACAGAAACTTCTTAGAGAGCTGGATGTGAATGATAACAAGGATAAGAAGAAATGCAATGGAATGACTTGTTAAGTACCATGTCATTAGGCATGAGCTAAGCAGGCATTAGCAAGTAGACAGGTTATTAATCATTTCAGCTATAAGAAGTCACTAATGGGTAAATTATGTCTCTAATTGACAAGGCTACGAGCCATTACTCTTGTGTGCAGCAAATAAAGTATGACACTTTATGTAGTTTTAAACTACCAGTAGTGCTGTCTGTCACAATCAGCCAAATGTGACGATATACGTTTTCATAAATTATTTTGTGCAATAAAAAACCTTGAATATTCTATAAATGTAGTGTGCTACAGCAATCAGCACACTCACTACAAAATACACACTATACTGTTTACTATGCAAAGAGGCATAATATAACCAGTATGAAGGTAAATAGGTTTAAAAAGCTGTTTATATATTTTTAGTTTCGTAACAGGCACAAGTACAAGCACTATGATGAAAACAAAGATAGATGGCTGGAAGCAATGAGACAGTAACGAAAACAGAAGATGTTGCCAGCTTGTGATAGGCCCTAACAGAGAAGGTAGAAGCCATGTGGCTGCAAATATGACCAGCTGTGACAGCATTAAACTCACTGTCCAGGATGTCTCCCAGGCCCTGGGCACGGAGCAGCTCCTTCAGTCGAGCCACTTCATCCTTCAGGTCACGCACCAACTTATTGTTGGGATCCTCATTGATGACAGCATTGCACTTGATGTTCTTGGCTCGGTCAGCATAGCTAAAAAAAAAAAATAAAAATAATGAACTTGATTTGGAAGGGCTTAAATATGAAAACATACAACACACATAGCTGTAATTATTTTTGAGTTAGTATCTACAGTACATCCTGGCATGAAACCTTACCGGAGTGTACTGAGGGTTTCATCGTAGTTGATATCTGCAGGACTGAGGGCAGCTACCATAGCTGTTCTGGAGTTTCCACCTGATAACAAAAGATCAGCAAAGATTGACTTTTAATTCAATTTAAAATACAACACGATTTCCACTGCACTGCTGTAAAAATGCTCAGTTAAGAAGAAAACACTACTAGGATCAAAATGAGTGCTGGAAACTAATTCCACTAATGTAAGATTTCCACTTTATTAGACTAAACTACTGTGTACTACACATGCCAGACTAAAGATATACTGTACACCTCTCCTACACGTGTGCCTGAACCAAGGGGATGAGTGTGCTTGTCTAGTTAGGTTGAAATACAGTCTGCTGACAGGGTCGTTCTTAAATTGGCAGGGTAATGTACACTCCAGCTCCAGTCATTTTTTTTATCCCTCCTTCGTCTTCCATTATACAAATGGCTCAATTTCTCTTGCTGTCCAGAAGTGAGAATTTCCCTACACAGTTTTCAGGCATAAATTACACCATGTTCAGCTGGTAAAGTGTGTTTATCAAGTGACACCAAAGGTCATACCGAGGTTCTCCCTCAGCAGCCACGTGAGAACAGAGTCTCTGTACGGGATGAAGTCAGTCTTCTTCTTCTTCTTGCTCTGCAGTAAACAAAACACCAAGATATCAGACAGGAAAAAACTAATATCTGATGTAACGCTTTGCGTTTCAAAACATGAAATTAAGGATGACAGTACAGACTCAACAATATTATGATGCAACATAAACATAAACCTTAACGGCTAAAGCGGTCAGTTTAAATGAGCGGAGGGCTGATTTGATGCGATTTTGTCTCTAGTGCAAGAGTTGTGGATTTAATTGTGCATGATGCCTAAAAGCACAGCACTGGGGTAATAAGAATCGTAGCTACTAAATCTCTGCATCTTCAACAGTGCACATGGCAAAAGGCTGTCAAGTCTGTCTCATGGGATGAATCGGAGGTTAGTGTTTCAGCTGTCAAAGGGTTTACCTTGCTGGTACAGTTGTCCTGTGTAAGCAAGCATTACAAGGACAAGAGAGGAGAAAGAAGAAGGGCAGACATTACAGCATGCCAGGCTACATACATTAATTCCTTGAGAAGGTAGGGTCAAGTCATCTAGGGTAAGAGAAAGGTTGAAAAGGAGGAAAATGAGAGAAAAGGAAAAAAAAAACAAGATGATAAAACACTCACCACTTCAGCCAGGGCAGAGATAACTTTTCCTAACGTGGTGAGAGATTTGTTGATGTTTGCTCCCTCCTGCAATCACACACACAAAGAAAAATGTTTATTCCAGAGTCATCAAGGTGATATTAGCCAGTTGGTTCATAAAGTTGCTAGATGTTTGTGCAGATGGAAGTCTTACCTTTAGCCTGGTACCTTTAGCTCCAGTGGAATCTGCTCGCTCACTCCCTGCCAAGTCTACCAGACTAATTTTACTGACCTGAAGGACGGAGGAAACGCATTAGATGCATCAAGCTTATAAATAATATACATATGAATTACGGGCGGGTGAAGAAAAAAATCGATTCGCATAAGACTTGCAGTTCTGATTCTCTGCAGCTCTCAATCAATTCACAAATGCCCAAAATAGATTCCTGTAAAACATTACGTTGATGAAATAAAAAAGGCAGAACTTCACTGTAAGGACATAGTGCAGCATGTAGCTGGTGTACAGTGTGCACATACTAAAATGATCTTGTAGTGCATCTTCAAAAAGTCTTCAGGCACATTTTAGATGTATTGACTTAGTAATTAGTGTTTAGTTTGAGTTCAAGTATTTTGTAGATACGCTGTACGCCATCACAGACTAATGTTAGCATAGTGGAGCACTGAACTCAAGCACCCTGCGGCACTTTACAAAACTTCAACCAACTCTGGTGGTTGAAAGAAAATAACTTTGACAGTGTAGTCTGTTTTTCAAAAATCTGTGCCTGCACAGCATTTTGGATAATGATGGCTTTCCCTTTACTAGCACTGCAGCAGGGAGACTGTTCTCCACTGCCGGAGACATAATGTTTACAACACAGCACACATAGCAATTGTTGTTTTTGCATAAAAACATTTACCCAGCGATGTTGGTCAGTTAATTACACATTCATTTTATAGTTTTTACGTAAAGAAAAATGATTGTAAAATGCTTCCTGCCAACTGGTGCAGTTAACTGATGAAAATAACTTCAGAAAACAATTTAATAATAAAGCTGCATACTCTCATGAAGGTCGGGGTTAGAGAATGACCCTCATCATACATTGTTAGCTTAACTGTCAGCTATGCTTCATGTGCAGCTCAGTAGGAATAGGGCAGGAATCAGAGTTTTGGCACACAGATGACTGAAGTAAGAGCCAGAAGTATAGTGCCCTTTATTTACTTCACTGAATTAAAAATCAATTCTAAATCAAACTGTGACCCCAAAGATCAGGAATGGATTAGAATGTTTGAATACTGTGAGATTCCCATCACTACTCTGAACAACAAAAAACTGAGAAGACGAAATCATCATTGTAGCAATGGAAGTACTTATCACAAAATACAGGATTCATAATGTTTTCAAAAACTTTGAAAAAAATCAAACCATCCAAAATATCAAGAAAAAAGTGCAAACCAGTCTAAAAAAAAAAATCGGGCATTCCTCTCAAGTGAGATGCAGCCAGGCAGTAAACTCTGATATAGTAGCTAAACACAATAGGCATTGTGTTTACAATAACACACTGGTCTTTGTGTCTCCAGAGTGAGAGGAAATGCTAAAAGTCAAATCTAAAATGGCTCTTTCTTTTCCTTCTCCAGTCACCACTGACTGAGAGGACCATTGGGCACATCATAGCTAAAAACAAAGGAAAACATAAAAAAATGGCTATATTAAAAAAAAAAAAAAAAATCTAAAATCTAATTTAAGAAGCAGAAGGTTCAAGTCTGTTCAAACCTTTTCTGTGGAGAGGTCTGTCTCGCTGTCGTGTTTCCTCTGTGTGAAGACAATGGTGAAAACCGCATGGGACCTGCTGCTGGTCTCATTCATGTTGGTGGCAGCCACAGTTCTGTAAGTTAGCACATATGGAAATAGTTAGGCAACACAACACAATAGGGATGTTAAATAGTTGTCTGAGCACCTTAACCATTTTTCCTTTTACATTATTTTGCAAGATTAATGCCGAATTCATGGTTTTGGCTTTTACTAGAGCTATCACTGCTGGGTTTTACACCTATTAGAGTGAATTGAGTTGAAGGGATTACTTTCTGCAGCGGAGGTGGATAATAGTGTGAAGACGCCAAACACAAATTCACAAGGCGCACTCAGAGGGATAGTCACAGGGGAGATACGGGTTTTACACGCATGTTCTAGAAATAAGCCCTCTGAGTCAGCACAGCAAGATTAAGGCAGGGTTCACTCCTCCCCACTGGAGCGCTCCTGACACACTCACACAGAGTAAAACATACACACACAGATACATTTGCCCACTCAAGCATATGCAGATGTCATTGAGAAGTACTCATTACCAGCAATTGCAGAAAGGTTCTGTCAGGCTTGACTTGCTGATTTATTTAAACTTAGTAATGCCACAAAGAGAAGGTCCTGGTGTCTTGAATTAAACTAATCAACACTGACAAGAAAGCCATAAAAATTGCTGCGATAAGAATATTCTCTGATTTAAAATTCTTCCCTTATTAGCCTGCATGACCGAGGATGTGAGTTATCACATCATCGCAGCTGTCACCACCACTATTACTCCTCCTCCTCCTCCTTCCTATGATCTCAGCATGATCCCAGAGCTTGACTCACCTGGCCTTGTTGCCTGCATCCATCAGGTCAGCGATGTCTGTGTAGGAGGTGACAGCTAGCTTGGACAGGTCCTCTACATAGGGACCCAGTAGCGGGTGTTCTCGAACTCGCAGGTTCCCTTTGTTCTTAGGATTGAGCAAATCTCGCACTCGCTCGCAGTAGATCTCCATGTAACTGACCTGGAAACAATTTCAAAAGTAACAGAGTATCAGTTCAGGTGCCCCAGGACAGCAATGTAATTCTGTAACACAAGGCTGAGAACAGAAAAATAACACAATGCAGCTCTGCACAACATAAATATGTGACTATAAAGGAGGGTGTTTCATATTCTTGCGGTATGCGCATGTTTTTTTTGGCAGATCTATATTAGAATCCCAGTCTGATAAAATGTGGCAGTGCACTCTAACAAGATAACCAGAAGGAATGTGCAGAGAAAACCCAGCATCTTTGAAGCTTCAGCCAATACGTGATTGATTCACTATCACCAGATACACTGATAGGAGAAGTCTTGGAAGAGTTCCTTAGAGACGAGCCAGCACAGGAGTCAGAGTAATGGGTTAACAATGGGGATTACAGATGCCAAAGCGGTCCAAGACTCACCTCTACTGAGTAGGAGAGCTCCTCTTTGTTGCTGTCCTCATTGATTTTCTCAAAGAGATCTTCACATAGCTGAGAGGCAGAGAAAGAGGACATTTTAGTGCAAATTAGCAGAATGTGGAGAGAGAAAGGGGGATGATAAATAGGAAGGAGATCTGTGGACAAATAGACAACAGAACAAAAAGCAATTTGTTTCCAAGTGATGTTTCTAGAACATATAGTTTTGAGCATGTTGATAGCATTTGTTGTCATGAACACCTCTGGCACTATGTCACACTATTTATTAATGCTCTTATAGTATCTATCAGATGAATAAGGGCTCCCCCCCCATTGGCTTTTTGCTATTGTTCATGGGAATAAACCTAATTTGTCCAAGACACACATGGTGTCAGATCTGTACCATATTAACATTGCATCATTGGTTGTCTGTCATGATCTTTGCAGTTCACCAAAATTCTAAAAGATATATTATAGAACAAACCATGGGAATGATTCCTTCCTGTCCCTCCTCCTGCTTGCCCATCATAGTGTAGGATTTGCCAGCTCCTGTCTGGCCATATGCAAAGATACAGACGTTGTAGCCCTCAAAAGCATGCTGCAGCATTTCCTTGCCAATGTCATTATACACGAGGTTTTGTGACGCGAAGCTGGGGTCTTCCGGCTGTGGGAGGGAGAAAAAACATTGCATTATTAGAAAGTTATGGTATTTCAAACTGTCAATAAATATAGTATCACATTATGTCAGAACAAAGAAAATGTTTGAACTCACTGTGGTGTGCGACCAGTAGGAGTAATCAAAACTGAAGGTCTTTGCTGGTTCCTTTGGGGCTTTTGGGTTGAGGATAGCTGTGGGGGAGAGAACAAAAGAAGACAAGTGATTAATAACATCTGGTTTGAATGTGAATATGAGAAAACTACTCTTATGTGCATATAGGCTCATTTTAAAAGCTGCCTTGACTTAGTTAGTGATACAGATTGTTCTGAATTATTGGATTAATGTCCTTTCAACCAAAACAAAGTATGTACCAAAAGTGTTCAGTTTGATTGTAGCAGCAAATCTTTGACCAAGAACTCACTGGAGTAGAAGTTCCTATCTATCTTCCTATTGTGTCCACTTAACTTCTTTTTTAGTTTTTTTTTTTAGTTTTTTTTTCCACGTGTACGTTTTCTTGCTTTGTAATTCCTTTAGTGTCACTCTTAATTACTTAGCTGTTTAAAAGCCAATGGAAAACACTGTGATTTTATATATTACATTCTATATGTAGTTACTAGATAAAGACAGTCGATACACTAATTATTTTTAACCTGTTTGGCTGGTAGTGGTTCCTTCAAGATCCTGTTCCTCAATCTGGGCACTTGAGTGATATTTATGGAACTGAAAGTCACATGAATCAGTGGCAGATCATCCGCTTTTTTAGGGACAGCAAGCGCTGCTTCAAGTTCTACTGAACAAGTCATCTTTAATCATTGTCCTAATTTATCATATGTAATGATAAGACCACAATGGCAATCAGAACAGAGTTTGAATAATAATAAAAAAAAACGTCTTCCACAACCACTTCACTTGTTGTATCTGTGAGAAGCATAGTGACACCATATTTCCACACTACCCATCCATTCCCTGTGGTCACACACACATTTCTTAATGAACAAGAATCTGCTACCATGCCTGGTATGTCATCCCTCTCAACCATGCTGGTTGGTACCGCTGGGACAAGAGTACTAGCTTTCATACTGGATATTTGAGTGGTAGAGAGCAGGATGCAGTTCTACTGTGAGATATTTGTGGTTCGCCATATCCCTATTGTTCCTCAAGTCCCCTTCTTGGACTTTGTTTGGCTAAAGGTGCCTTGTATTTTGGCTAATGCAGGGAGTTCACTCAGACTAGGAAATGCTTACTTTCATCATTAGAACTGAAGAGGAAGACAGTGAAAGACGCAAGCAAAAAAGGGTTTATGAGACTTAAATTAAGGTAAGTGCTCAGGAGTCTAGCAAAACTCAAAGGGCCTAACAACAGAGAGCAGCGTTGAGACGAAAGGAAATACTGCATCTACATCTTAGTAAGAAGAATAGGTTCTGTGTATGCAAGTATTTAGAGCAAATGTGCAGTGCCAGCCAGAAAACAGCAATTAGCTTTGTTTAATGCAAATTCTGTGCTCTGCTAATGGGCAAATTAAAGCCAGGTTTAGCTCCTCGACATGAGGGTGCTTGAGAGGCTTTTGAATCAAGATGTCGCCAGCAGAGTGCCTTTATGTGCTCAGAGGATTTCAGCACACTTATCAATAATGCAGGAGATGTGGAGAGACAGGGATTGCATATCGCCCTCCACGGGTCACATGCTGACAGAAAAGCACAGCATGTCCTCAGAAACCAGAACACTAGCTGCTTTACGTTAAATATGTGATGATAATAGTGACTGCTACTGCACCAAACTTCAGGTAGCTCCAATCTTGCACAGGTACAAATTATGCATTTGTTTTTACCATCTTCAACCTTCAAACAGGTTAAGGTGCTTTGGTGGCGCAGCAGCTTCCATATTGGGCACTGGAAGAAGATACAGCAAGACAGGTGGCTAAATAAAGCCTATTTCACCTTTGACATGCCTCCAAGGAGAAATTGGAGACAGGGCACAAAAAAAAGGAAGTGCGATTTAGGTTACCAGTGCCCCTATTCCCCTTTCCTGGAACAATCTACAGTGGGCATTAATGCATAGGCAGCCGAAGCTCTGATCCAGTGTCAATGCGGAACCTTAACAGTAAAAACTGAAAGATGAAGAGAAAGTCACATGTGAGGCATTGGGCCAGTCAGATGCTCTTTACAGGCAGCAGACTGAAAGTTATAAACCTTACAGGGAATCACAGATGTGTTCTAATATGACAAAGCATGATGTGAGTTTTCTAATCCCCCATTTATTTTTGGACTCTCGTCTGAGACAAGGGTATATTTTGTGATGTAAAAAAGGTAGCAACAACCGGGAGTCTGCGTAGCTCCTAAGGTTGAATCATGCTCATGTGGCACAACCGCCTCATTCAATTGCCCACTCAGAACAGATAGCTGCTTCACCCATGTAGTCGTGTCAGTGCGTCATAGGAGTGGATCTCTCATGTAAGAGCATACAAAAGTGTACTGAGGGCAACGATGCACAAACTACCACACATATGGAGCTGTAACTGCTGTTACATTTGCACCTGCTAAAAAACAGGGATGTTCATGATTACTTCTATGTGTAGTTTAAATTTTTTTTATCATTGTACTTTGTGTTGGAAGAGTGACAAGCTGCCTCTTACGGTAAATCCATCTATTGTTGTTCACACACATTTGTCAAATTGTTGCATTTAGCCATCTAGTGCAACCTACATTCAAACATTACTCACCTACTTTTTCTAAACTGAACATGAGTCACTCAGTTCACTCTCTACGCTTGCAACTATACATCACACATAGATTTTATATAAACAGGGGAACATATACAGTCATAGTCTTAAAACCAGATGTCAATGAGGAATTCCTCTCCTTTCCATTTATAGTAAATATGCGGGCCAGAGTCACATCCTGGACTTGAAATGGCAGACGCATTCTGCTGTCTAATAAACGTCATCTCTCTGTCTTTCTCAACCATGGCAACAGGTATAGGACCAGATTCTCGTTGCCATAACAACTTCAACTTGGCACAGAAGGGGAGGATGCGGCACATTGCGTTCTCTTTTCTCTCGTCTCAAGCATTCCCTATTACAGTTCTCTAGAAATTATATATAACTCCTTAAAAATACAGGTTTATGGAGACTTACAGTCATTTATCAAACACCGATTCTCAGACACCATGAAGACAATAAGCTACTTAACAAGAGGCATTAGAACAAACAACTTTTGCTGCACACAAACCTGACACATACTTTGTAAATGGAAACTGTAAGAACATGAATATTGTAGTAAAACATAGAAGACAGTTTATCATTTAAATCAAGTACTCAGAAGGAGTGCTCTGATTGGCTGTGTACCAAGAAATATGAAGATCCACAAGCACAAGGGTCAGAAATTGAACATTACCATTATAAGAGCAAAATACCGTGGCATCATCAGGCCGTTAAACTGCACTAAACATCTATTACATAAACAGAGGACATGCAAAACTGTGTGGGTACTCCGAAGGAGACAATTCTCTCAAGACTGAGAAATTTAGTCAGAGAAATTTAGTCAGAGCCCGATGTTCTGTGAACAAGCTACTGGTTGGCATATGAAGGTAATTCATATGTTCATTTTTCTAAATGCCAAAGCTCTCAATTTTCATTTTGTGTTTCTGTGCTAGCACTCCACCGGAGCACTCCGTCTTAACAGGAGGTTAGATCATAGTTAACTAACCACATCCTGCTATCTGAAGAATATCACTCAGCTGGTTGTAGCGGGCAGACATTTTGTGCTACAGTGTTCAACATGGGGCCTATAATCCGACCAGGAAAGCAAAGATACCCCTCAGTAATGAGGTTGTTAGGAGGTCTCTGAGCACCAGATGGGGACTAAAAGCTAGCCCCTTTCACCTGAGACTAGCAGACAAGTGGAGTCTAAAATGGCTGAACATATTTGCCTCTCTCTTCCAGTAACCCTCAGCGGACCTGCCGGCTGTTAGTTCAAGCTGATCGATGCCTATCTGAGATCAGAGAACAGGGGATAAGGGCAATAAATAAATGCAAGTGTAATCTCTGTAAGGAAAACAAATGGACAAAGGAAGCCAGACATTCAGGGAAATAATATCTGTGAAGAATTAGAATAACCACATGTGCTTCTTTCAGCAAGACTGAGGTATTTTAATAGCATCCCTGGGGTCGATGTGCAGCTGTGCATATGAGCAGGAGTGTGATGTAACAGTTCGCTCCTCAATGATATTATTCCAGTCATTTAATTCACGACATTAAATTCCCTCACAACATTACATAAAAATGTTGGTGACCTCAGCAGAACCAAACAGCTCTAACAACATCCACTTCTCATTACAAATGAGATGATAGAACCATATCCGAACTCTTGTCAAAATATAACTGTATAGAGAAACTAGATTGAGTAGCTCTTTTGTAGTAGCAGTTAAAAGAGACAGGTGGTTTCAGAACATGTTTTGCATAATATAATGTCTATGATACTTAATACTAGATTAATAAACATTATCTGATCTCGTACTAATTAATTTAAACTGATTGTAATTCACTATCACTGCATTTGTAATTAGTGTTGATTACATTTGGGTGCCAAGCCTAAAGGCAGTAATGTAACCTCACAGAATAAAGCCCATTTAATTTAATAGTTTTCTGCTTTGGTTAACACGTAAGTTCAGAATGCTTCTTCTTGCCAAGTTGATAAATATTAGGCCGGATGAAAGAAGGGAAAATTTCTGTTTTTGTTCCAAAAATGGATTTTCAGCTAAATTATTTCATCTGATACTGTGGAGCGTGTCTCAAACTAGGATCGCAACTCAAAACCATTTGAGGGATGAACTTTGCCGCTCTGTTTTTATCTTCTCCTCTCTACTGCATCACTGGCTTTTTGCTCGAGGGCGGGGCTCCTTACTCAAACACATAAACAACAGAAGGAAACTGAGTCTAGGTTGTAATTTACTGAAGATAATGGTTGCAGTACTTGTCATCACTGTGAGTGGCAATTGTTGAGCAAGAGGAACATAAACTTGCAGAAGTATGATTTCTTTAACCACTGCCACCCTACAGTCACCCCTCTGTGCCCTCTACATCCCCAGCTGGAGTGTTTTACACAGACAGAGCCAAAACTTTAATCCATACGATGAGCTGCAAGTAAACTAAAATAATGCAACAGTTTAACCTACTGAGTTTCATATTACAACC